ATCGGCACAGCAAAAAACGAGACGCACACCAGACACGCCAGAAGACTTGTTAATCAACATAGAACTGGTACTATTAGCCATCAGACGTTTGGGTTCATACTGAGGGGAGGATCTGAGCACCTATGGACATGTCCGGAGTGCAATGAGAATAACCCAACTAACTAACTAACTAACTGCAGTCTCAACAAATACTCTTATAAATTAAGTTTGAGCCAAACAGCTCTCTGCCAGTGGCTTCATGCTGAACAGTCTCAACAGCATGTCTTGTAAGACTGTCCTCTATCCCAAGCTGACTCCTAGTTTATGGCTTGTAGTAGATTAACTCTTTGAGTCCCAGTGGGTTTTGCATAACATGCCCAGGGGGTATTGAAGAGAGTCATAAAATCGGCACATCATGCGTTCATTGGGCTTCTAGGTAGGAACCTATAAATGTATGATGCGTTCTTTGGGACTCAAAGAGTTAAGCGAATGAGCAGAGAATCCTGAAGAAGAAGTTGAAATGTGAAGTGACTGATGCTTTATGCAATAAATCTGTGATTGGAGGTTAGAAAAATAATTTTTGCATGCTACTTAGAACTAGTTTAAACATGTGGCTGTGAATTAGGAGCATTCAGTAAATGGATTTTAGTAAATTGCGTCTTCAATATCTTGTATCCACGTTTACTGAGATCGGCCTCTGTTTTGTTTTCTGTCCATCATCATTCTCCCCAGGCCACTAGGAGGCTTAACATGGCCAGAATACCACAGCTTTCAGTACAGGATGCCGTTTATGAGCTTGTTCTCCTTGATGTTCACTTCTGTGTTTGGAAACTAGTAACCTACTTATAAATCACATGTCACAGTCTTCGGCTTAGGTGTTGCGAACACACTTTATAATGCCGTTTGGTTTCGACAGTGGTATTGAGAAGCCGACTTTCCAGAAAGAAATGGCAAACTACTGGACATAAATTTGCCTAGAAAAATCACAACAACCATAAAATGATGGGGTTGGTTCTGCAATGTTCTGTAGAGGATACACAAATAACTAACTAACTAACATATATCACATATAAAATAACACTCTACTGTTCTTTGGCTATCCTGAATTTGTTTATATCTTCACGTTTTAGGGTGCTGCATCATCAGTTATAAGGCCACCCCTCCCATCCCCCAAAGTAAAATATCATTCTACATTTTCCTTTCTAGTACCCCTGCCCCCTCCCGCCCCATTCAAATTTTATGAGGCTGGGTTGACCCCAGAGTCACTCTGATTGCAAAATTATCCTGCCACTTCTGGGGATTGAACCCAATATTACTGCCACAGGAGACAAGTGCACCAACCACTATATCACAGTGGCCCCAGGGAAATATGTAAATTTGTCAAAGTATCTAGATAGAGAATGAAGAGAACTGATTGCCCACATTAAAAGAGACATGCTTTGCTCATGTCATAAAAAGGAGACAAACTGACAGTGGGAAAAGTGGAAGGGAAAAGATGCAGAGGGAAACCGAGAGAGAAGAGGCTTGACATTATGGCACTGTCTACCAATGCCACGACTACCAGTGCAATAAAGCGTGGACTATTAGAAGAAAGAGCAAGAGTGGATGACTATTGTCAAGCTGAAATAAAAAAAAATCAATAAATTTGGTGCTGCCATCTTCACAGCGAAGGTTGGTTACAGTGTACCTGCTGCTGTCTTTGTGAATATTAAGCACTGAGACCAAATCTCGTCAACTGTAAGACTCGGCAATACTAGTCTGAAAACTATCAGAGTCGCAAATAAACGATCCACCTCAGATATTGACCCCCTAACACATAGATTATAAAATTGCTAAACACATTTGCTAACCTCTGAGCCATTGAGTTGCATGACATTAGGAATGCCCAGTTCCCCCGAAGCAACTAGCAAACATGGCGAACATAAATACATGCAGACAAAAAGTAAATGTTTATTGACAAAGCAAGAGAAATATTTTACTACCAGAAAAAAAAATTGATTCTTTTCCATCGTTTATCTGAGTGACATAAACGTGTTGTGTCTTTTTACAGCATAGCTGAATGATTTGCACCTTTCAGCTGACACATCCAGCTTCTTCGGGCATTTGTTATTCAGATTAGCCTTCCCAGTTAGTTTCATGGGATGATTTTAATCTCATATGTATGGTGACTTCATCCTCCCCTGATTCACAGATGTTTCTAATGTAACCCACCCCCAACCCCACGGGCAGCCGCATGCAGGTTGGTCAACTTTCAAGCCCCGCCATCCAAGGAGACTTCCATAAATACAGATCCTTTACACGGGGCTCTGGTCCTGGGCTCACCTATGTGGAGTTAAGAATCGACATCACAGCACTCGGGATACTGCCATAAGTGCTCAGTCCCCATATTCAGCAGCAAGCAAAGTTCCAATTCCGATGGTACCAGTAGCTGTCTGATTGTATATCCATCTCATCCTTTCCCTGAGTGTTGAGCGTCGGCCAGATCCCATGGTTGGGCTCACCTAAAGAATTGCCACATGACTGCTTGGCCTCACATCTCTGAGTCCAAAGAAGCTCAGCACAGTGCCCAGGCTCTGTAGCACCGGCAAGGATCCTGAAATACTTTGGGCAGATTTTTTTAAACTCTAAGTTTTGTCCGGGCAGCACCGTTAGGCTACTTATTTCGATTTCAAACTGCCAAGGGATTTTTTTACGTGAGCAGCACACGGGCATCAAATCTCACTACCCAGAGACCAGGGGGAATTACTAGAAGTCCAAGTCCATGTGAAAAATCCCAGCCCTTACCGCGGATTGAACCCGGAACCTCTAGCACTCGAGGCGGACACCCTTCCCCCTATGCTAGGCTTTTGTGTGGGAGACCTGGATTTAAATTCTTGGCAGGGCAGGATTTTTATTTCTTCTGTGGGGAGCAAAAATATATCTCCAACTTATACAGTTGTTGGCAACTTCTTCTTCTGCCTTTCTATCCCCCAATGGAGCATAGGCCCTCAACCAACTCACGCCAAGTCGTTCTATCCTTCGCCATTGCATGGAGCTCTACCCATGTCCTCCCCATCTTTCTAACCTCATTCTCCAGCTCTCTTCTCCATGTGTTTTTTAGCCTTCCTTTATTCCTATGCCCCTGTGGGTTCCAATGCAAAGAAATTCTAGTTATGCTGTTCTCCTGTTTTCTCAGTGTGTGCCCTATCCAACGCCAGCGTCTTTTCCTCACCTCCTGATCCACTGGAGCCTGTTTAGGTCTCTCCCAAAGTTCTACATTAGTTATTCTATCATACCATTTTATTCCCTCTATTCTGCGTAGGCACCAGTTAATGAATGTCTGTAGTTTATTTGTAATTGCCTTGGTTGTTCTCCATGTTTCCGCCCCATACAATAGTACTGATTTGACATTAGAATAAAACATTTTTAGTTTAGTATTTCTTTTAATTTCTTTTCACCTCCACAAATTCCCTAGTGCTATGAAAGCCTCTCTTGCCTTTTGTATTCTTATTTTAATATCTCTATCAGTTCCTCCATCTTTATCTACATTACTGCCTAAATAGGTGTACAACTCCACGTCTTGGAGTGGGGTGCCATTAAGAGAAACCACATTACTATTTGCCTGATTTATTCTCATTATCTTTGTCTTTCCTTTATGGATTTTCAGACCAGTTAGCAACTTGCAGCCCTAAATTCTCAGGCTCAGGGTCCCTTTGTTCTACAGTGCTCTAAAAAGAGAGTGCTCTTAGAGAGAATGCCTTGTGACACCATACCATACAAAGCATACATGGAAAGAGAAGGACGTAGAGCACGAGGTAGACCAAGAACAAGATAAAAGGATAACATCAGAGAAACTCTACAACAGCACGATGTGCCTATGGTCGAGGCGGCCAGAAGAGCTAGAAACAGAACCTTATATCTCCCTCGACACCCACAGCGGTAAAAGAGGAAGTGAAGAAGAAGAAGAAACACTTAATGAAATAGTTTGGCCACCTGGTCAGAATGAACCCAGTGTCACCTGTTGCAAGAGCATACATCGTAAAATAGAAACACCAAGAGGTAGAAGACGACCAAGAAGAAGATGAAAGAAGTTTTAACAACTTTCTGAAACTCAGCAGTATCACCGTGCAGCAATCTAACGGGCACTAGCACGGAAACCAGTTGTGAGCTATGCCTGCGACACTTAGCATTAGACAGACAATTGATAGATAGAAAGACAATTTAAAAAAGACACAGAAATATTAACTACAGTACGGATCGCATACAAAAATATTTGCGCTAACCGGAGACTAAACCTACTGGCAGTTTTGTTCATGTTAACAAAATGTTCTTCTTAAGCAAGTTCATGTTAATCAGGTGTTACTGTAGCATGACTTCTGGAAACATAAATATTATGTGTAGGTGTGGGAAGAGAGGTGAAACAAAAATATATGCACATACATATGTTTGTCAGGGTGATGTCGCATCACTCGTGTCCTGGTTGATAGCTGTTATGGGTACCCTATTTATAACTTCTTTGGAGGTTGAACAGGGTATCTGGGATCTGCCTTATTGGTCGGCTGTAGAGATTGACATTTTTGAATCTCAGGAATGGTAAACCTTCATCGTTAGCCTGGAGAAGACAAACTGATCGATAGACTGATTATATGCCGAAATGAGTAATTTACCTTGAAAGGGTTCTTCACCTAATTTACTTCCACATGTCTGTATTCTCTGCTGATTCTAACTTTCAACGTTTTTGCTTCCCAAAATGGGCACTCGAGAGCATACTGAACAACTGTCCCTTGCAGCAAAACCTGTGAGAAAATGCATGGCTAGAGGGAAGAGGCATCCAGGATAAACTTTGGGGAACCCTTGGAGACTTGCTGTTGACCTGCTGGTTCATGGAGGCAACACAGCAGATAACCTAAGCCTATGAAACTGATCACAAAGAAGTTTCACTGAATAAAAATAAAGTAAAATTATTGTTGTTACTATTTTTCTGTAAAACCTTGCATTCTTATAATTTTTTTAAATTCTTTGTTTATTTTGTGTCATCTCAGATTACCTTCGTAGTCTTAACACAACCACAAAGAGACAGTATGATGCTTTAACTGAGTGGAGGCGAAAGGAAAATGACAAGTTTGAGCAAACTAAAGCACTTATAACTGCTTTGAGAGCTGAAAATCAAGAGCTTCAGGTCAAGGTCATGACGTGTGCTGATAAAGAGGTTTGATGTTTCTTTTAAATCGTTCAGTTTTTTTCCTCTTAGTTCTAAGTCAGTCTTTTCCATTTCTTTTCAAAAATGACCTTGGCTCCCATGTCGACCCAGCCTTGAGTGGGTACCGGGTGCAGTCCCGGAAAAAAAAGGCGGCCAGTGTGATGCTGACCACATCGCCCATCTTGTGCCGATTGGTCTATAAAAATATGTCTAGCCCAAATGCCCTATACGCCTAAAGGCGTAGAAAAGGGTCCTTTCCTTTTTTTTTTACTTCTCCATTTCTGTGAAAGCCTGTAGGTCTGCGGAACAAATTTAAATGGTCCGTGTTGGTATTCATGCACACATAAAAGAAAACCCTACTTTAGAATGAAATAATTTTTCTAGATTCTAGTATTTTAACTCTTTCAGTCCCAAGAAACGCATAATATGTCAGTGCTCTTCAATTTAAATCCCAACTGTCGCATAAGATGTTCTCTAAAATCTCAGTTTTGGTCACAACTTTCTAATTAAATCTGACTGCCACATTGACTACTTCCAGTGAATAATTTCTTTTATTGCATACATACGTAATGTTGCATTAAAGCAGTTTGTGCCGTACACTGTTTCTCTTTTGTCTTGTAGAGCATATATTAACTTATACGTTATTTCACTGTAAAGGACCCTTTTCCATGCCTTTATGCATTTTGGGCATCTAGAGCTAGACCTGTATTTTATGAACCAATCGGCAGGCACCATTAGCGCAGTCGATAAGAGGCTTGCTTTCAAAGCTAGCTGAGACTTGCTGCAGCCCACAATCGCCGTTCTAAACTGGGCGGCCCCAGGGTTCACCCAGCCTCTAGGAAATGGGTACCAGAGTTGACACTCTGGGGTAAATGGAGGTACGTTGCTGTAGCTACAGAGTTACGTGCGAATGGCGACACAGGCGGACCACTTCTTATCAGCTGTCTGTACTAGTGGCAGAGCACTTATGGTTTATAAACGTTTGCAATGATGCTGGTTCACATCTCCCGACTTTACCTTTACCTAGACCAATCGGCACACAGTGGGTGGTGTGGTCAACATTGTGCCGGCCACCTTTACTTCCCAGGGCATGTACCTGGTAACTTTTTTAAAGACTGGGTCGACCTGGAAGCCACGGTCATTTAAAAAACAAAAAGTCACTTTCCGTCAGGACCTGAATCCCCAACCTTCTGATCCACAGACAAGTGAGTTTTTTTACTACATGCAAATAAATGGGTTTAAAACCCCCGTGTGGGTTCCGGGGCCCCACTGTGGGAAAAACAAGAATAGACCCACTGCCTCCCCAAAAGCATGTCGTAAGAGTCGACTAATTGGGGAGCTTCCTTTGAAGTCGGAGTGCATCTGCCGGAGAGGCAAGGAACCAACAGTCTGTATTCAAGAGAATGAGATCTGTAAAACTGATGCACACGCAACACTCAGGTTCTGGAGCAGGACTGCAGTTCAGTAGTGGACGAGCAACCAGAACTTTCTGCCTGAGTGTACAGCTGGTGAACGCGAAGAAGAAGAATGGGTTTAAAATATATTGATGGTTGGTTTTCTTTGTATATTTTTCCAATGTCTATCGGCTAAGTCTTGTGAAGTTTATATAGAAGATAACAAGTGCTATAACTAATCTACAGAAAAGCCCTATTCAAGTATCAGAAGGAATTTGCTTTTACAGAAAGAACTGACTCTTTGCATATCAGCATGAATTTGCTGTTGTAGAAGGAACTGACTCCTTACACATTAGAATGAATTTGTTGTTACAGAAAGAACAACTCATTACATCTCAGAATGTATTTGCTGTTACACAAAGAACTGACTCATTACATATTAGATTGCATTTGCTGTTACAAAAAGAATTGAGCTACTACATCTCAGAATTTATTTGCTGTTACAGAAAGAACTGACTCATTACATCTCAGAATTTATTTGCTGTTACACACACACAACAAACTGACTCATTACATCTCAGAATTTATTTGTTGTTACAGAAAGAATTGATCATTACATCTCAGAATGTATTTGTTGTTACAGAAAGAACTGATCATTACATCTCAGAATTTATTTGTTGTTACAGAAAGAGCTGATCATTACATCTCAGAATGTATTTGTTGTTACAGAAAGAACTGATCATTACATCTCAGAATTTATTTGCTGTTACAGAAAGAACTGACTCATTACATCTCAGAATTTATTTGCTGTTACACACACACAACAAACTGACTCATTACATCTCAGAATTTATTTGTTGTTACAGAAAGAACTGATCATTACATCTCAGAATGTATTTGTTGTTACAGAAAGAACTGATCATTACATCTCAGAATTTATTTGTTGTTACAGAAAGAACTGATCATTACATCTCAGAATTTATTTGCTGTTACAGAAAGAACTGATCATTACATTTCAGAATTTATTTGTTGTTACAGAAAGAACTGATCATTACATTTCAGAATTTATTTGCTGTTACAGAAAGAACTGATCATTACATTTCAGAATTTATTTGTTGTTACAGAAAGAACTGATCATTACATTTCAGAATTTATTTGTTGTTACAGAAAGAACTGATCATTACATTTCAGAATTTATTTGTTGTTACAGAAAGAACTGATCATTACATTTCAGAATTTATTTGTTGTTACAGAAAGAACTGATCATTACAACTCAGAATTTATTTGTTGTTACAGAAAAGAACTGATCATTACAACTCAGAATTTATTTGTTGTTACAGAAAGAACTGACCCAGCAAGTCCAGAGTCTGGAGGAAGCGAAGGCACATCTCCAGCGCCAGAAAGCAATGAGTGACCAGCGCATGTTCAATGTGTTCAAAATAGCAGAAGAGCAGGGAGTGAAGGGGCTGACCCAGGAAGACCTGGGAGATGATCAAGATTTATCAGATGCTGTATGAATTTGATTTGAGACTTTATTAATAATGAGTCAGATTAACTATTAATATGCCAGCATTGAGTTAAGTTGAGTCAAGAATTGACATCACAGAACTCGGGGCATTCCCATGCATGCTCCGTCCTTATCTTTAGCAGCCAGCGCAGAGTTCCAATACTGATGTTACCGGTCACAATCTGGTTAAAAGTCTGTTTTGCCTTTCCGCTGAGTGTAGTCAGCCGGCCAGACCCTCTGGTTACACCCAGGTGCCTCATTCTCTCCAGGCCATAATAATCTTATTTCTCTACTGCCAGGATTAAGTATGCTACAGTTCCGGATAACTAAAGGTAGCTGTTATACTGTTGGTTGTGTTGCATCTTCTTCTTTATTTCTCTACTCCTAAAATGCCTGGCAGCTTCAGGGATCTCTGGAGGGCAGGAAGAGATCTCTGGAGGGCAGGAAGAGATCTCTGGAGGGCAGGAAGAGATCTCTGGAGTGCAGGAAGAGATCTTTGGAGTGCAGGAAGAGATCTCTGGAGGGCAGGAAGAGATCTCTGGAGTGCAGGAAGAAATCTCTGGAGGGCAGGAAGAGATCTCTGGAGGGCAGGAAGAGATCTCTGGAGGGCAGGAAGAGATCTCTGGAGGGCAGGAAGAGATCTCTGGAGGGCAGGAAGAGATCTCTGGAGGGCAGGAAGAGATCTCTGGAGGGCAGGAAGAGATCTCTGGAGGGCAGGAAAAGATCTCTGGAGGGCAGGAAGTGATCTCTGGAGGGCAGGAAGTGATCTCTGGAGGGCAGGAAGAGATCTCTGGAGGGCAGGAAGAGATCTTTGGAGTGCAGGATGAGATCTCTGGAAGGCAGGAAGATATCTCTGGAGGAAAGAAAGATATCTCTGGAGGAAAGGAAGAGATCTCTGGAGGGCAGGAAGAGATCTCTGGAGGGCAGGAAGAGATCTCTGGAACTGGACTGTCTGTTTGCTTCAAATAAAGTACTTTTCATTCTCTCTGATATTTCTGCGGTCCATCCTATGCATGGTCGACCACTAGTTGTGTCACTATTGTATGTGTATGACTTTGCTGTCTGTGATACCCTGTCTGCTGCCAGTCTTGTTACATGGCCAAGCAGTTTGATTTGTTACCTTTCTTTACAGTTCAGTATTGGTTCTGTGCCAACCAGGGTTCGTAGTGGACCGGGAAATCGGGAAATTACCGGGATTTTTTTCGTTGACCTTGAACCGTGATTTTTAGCTTATAAAAGACATTCCGACCTTGAAAAGCCGTGAATTTTGACCGCGGCAATGAAATCGTCAGAAATCCTGTGTTTTTCAACACAGGCAATTTTGGGGGAGCCATTTGGCTTTTTTGGCCATTTGGCTAGTTTTTGGCTACTTTCGTTGTATGGTCGTTTCAGGTGTGAGGGCAGCTGATTATTGGCTATTTTCAGCCGAAATGGCTTGTTAAAGGCCAGGGGAGGGCGGGCTGTGTTGCAGATCATGAATACATGCAGACAGCAGCGGTGTGGCATGGGGCGGGAAGTATCAGCTTCTGTCTCGCGCGTGTGTGTGTGTGCCTTTGTTTCTAGCAAGTCGGGCAGAATGAACAGTATAAATCGTTTATGGCCGTGGTTTCTAGAAAGGATTACATTGGGAGATGGTGGGGCTCGGTTCAGTTGTATTTATAAATAGAGTCGCCGTGGTGGGGGCTAAGCACGGCCTTCTCTATTAATTAGAGATGGCATTGGGGCTAAGCAAAGTAACTGCAGCTGGATTTCCCAGTTCTATTTTTGGCCTGGATTTATCTTTACAGTGTGTTTGGCGATCAGTATTGTAATTCCCCGAGATTCCCTCTTCTGTTGTCTCACCCCTCTCTCTCTCTTCCCTCCTTCTTTCACTCTTCTACCTATTGCTCCTTCCTTCCCGTCTCCTGCATTGTCTCTAACCCTCCCTTCTGATCTTCATCTTCTTCTCTTTCTCTCTATCTTTCCTTTTACTCTCTCATTTCCTGTCCCCCTCCCCCTTTTTCCTATTTTATTTCTTGTTTAAATAAATGTGCGGCTCCATAACTCTTCCTAGCAACTCAAGTACACAGGAAGTTGTATTGGGGGGGGGGGGGGCATTCTGTGTGAACATGGTGGATATTTTCTTTTGATGTGTTTGTTTTCCTAGCGGCCTTAATCTCTGTCCATCTTCCTTCCCGCCCCCTCACATTTTGTCCTACCTGTTCCTCACTCTCTGCCTGTCTGTGTCACTGCTTTCCTCTTTCTCTTTGTATTTGCCACTCTCCCTCACTCCCTCCCTCTCTCTCTCTCTCTCTCTCTCTCTCTCTCTCTCTCTCTCTCTGGTTCTTTCTCCATACCTTCAGTTGGTATAGAAGGTTATGTGTTGCCTAGTGCAGAACATTTCATGTCCACCATTCCCCCCTCCGACACATTAAATATATGTGTACTTTTAAAAACACATTTGCCGTCACCCCCCCCCCCTTTTCTCCTCCCACATTGATGACACCTAGGGGAGGGAGTGCACCCCTTCTTCCCTCTATATCTCATCTTATTTCTTACTCCCTTCTTTCTCTCCCTGTCTCATTCCCACTTTATTTTCTTAAACTTTATTCTCTCACCTCCTCTGTCTCACCCTTACCACATCAGCCTTCTACACAACTTTCCACCACCTCCTCTCTCCCCTCCTTTCTGTAATTGGAAAACCAGAAATAAAACGAAGTCCACTGCTGCCCTGACCTATTTATGTGTCTGACCTATTTATGTGTGAGGGTAAACTTCTCTATTTTCCACCAGTGGTGGGTTGGGATCCCCTGGACTTTTTTTTTTTCATAAAAAAATGACCTTGGCTCTCAGGTCACCAGCCTTAAGTGAAAGAAATTGAATTATTGTTGTCACACACAGATAGGACAAGCAAGGGGCAGTAGGGGTTAGCACTGTTGTTTATGGACCACGGCCACATTCACATTGGGAGAGGGTAGGAACTGGAAAAGTGGCCTCACTTAGAGATTTCCTAATTCTATTTTTGGCACTCATTGTTCTTACACCCCCCCCCCCACCCCCACAACCGTGTCTTACCTTTCTTCTCTCACCCCTTCTCTTTCCTTTGATCTTCTACTATTCTCCTTTCTCTCTCCATTCTTCCTCTCTTCCTTTCCTTGCCCTTTCTCCTGTCCCATCTCTTCTTTGTCTCCTCTCCATCCTGTCTTTTTATTTTCTCTAGATTTCCTTACCCGCTCCCCTCTCTCATTCTCCCCCCCCCCCCCCATTTTTTTACTGGATCATCTACGTATTTTTTTTGCCCCATAACTATCTTTTCCTAGTGGTTGTGTCCACTACACTTGAAATTGTGTGTAGGGGGGGGGGGGAAGTAGGTGGCTTTTTTTTTTTTTTGGATGTATCTTGTCTCCCTTCCCGCCCCTCTCTCTTAATCTGTGTTTGTCACTGCCTTCCTTACCCACCTCTCTCTCTCTCTCTTGCTTTATGTCTGTTTGCCTCCCTTCATCACTTCCTCTTTGTATACCTCCCTCCCATTCTCCTGCTCTGCCTTTTTTCTCTTTCTTTGGTTCTCTCCCTCTGTCTGCTTGCCTCTCTGTGCTGTCCCTTTGTCTCTCTCTCCTTTATGTCTACATCTCTCTCTGCTTGCATCTGCTTCTCACCCTGTCCGTTCTCTCTCCCTCTGTCTTCCTTCTTTCAACTCTTTGTCATATTTTCCTCCTTCCATATCTCTGTTTCGTTCCCTTTTTCCTTCTCTTTTCATCTGCCCATCTCTGTATCTGCATTCCCCTCTTTCTGTATTTGTCTCCCTCTCTGTCTTTCGCTGTCCCTTCCCCACTTTTCCTCATCATGTCTCCATCCCTCCCTCTCATTTTTTCCTCCTTCCCTAGACTTCTTTTCCTTCTTTTCTCTACCTTCATCTGTCCATCTTTACACTGTCTCTCCCAGCCTACCTCAGTATGTGTCTTCCTCTCTCTTCATGACTCTCTCTCTCTCTCCCCTAACCCTCTCAGGTACCAGGTCCAGAACAGACAGGACTTCAGTTTGCTGCCCTCTACCACCAAGCCCTAAAAAAAATTTCAAACACTATATCAAGCTCAGGGGCCGACCAACACGAAGATGGGCACAGGATATAAGTGACTCCTTGAGTATAAAAAAGTACATGAGGCGGGAGAGCTGGTGAGAGACCGAGGTTTTTTTGTCAGGACAAAGGAAATGCTACATGATGATGATATCTGTGCTGGTATACCAACACATGTGGCACAAATGAAGTACCTTGTGTGCTCAGTACACCCTTGAACAAGGCAAGAATCTTGTTTCAGTATTACACCGAGACAACCTTGAAAAAAACTAAGGAGACCTTGAAAAAGACCTTGAAAAGCCTTGAAATTGATTGGTAAATTTGGCTATGAACCCTGGCCAACTCTCCTCCTGATATCATCATTCCTTCATGTCTTTCCTTATTTTGCATGGAGAGGGAAAATCAGGAAAAGCTAGAGATAGTGAAAAAAATAAATAATTGCAAACAGGTTGAGAATTTAATGTTTAATAAGAAACTTGTTAATTACATTCGTTGGCAAAAGTGGCCTTGAAATCCCCAGCACTTATTGTATAAGAATGTTTTTCATGTGAGCTCTTTAGCTCGCCACACTTGCCATGGCCATGGACCGTTGATACCCATGTTCTTAATCTATAATTAAATGCATGCATTATCCTAGACTCCTAACAGTAGGTACACAGTAAATATACAAAAGACAGTGAAGTTTATACCGGAGACAGCATTGCAGATGCATATGTAGATAATTTTTTTCAAGCCAACGAAAGAAGAAATGGGTGTACAAACTGCTTATGAAAACAAAAACATCCATGGCTTTTTTCTAAATAGTTAAAAAAAATATTTTTTAAAAAGATAAACTGAAATTTTGTTTGGTAATCCCCCCCTCCCCCCCCCCCCCCCCCAAGTCCAACAGATTTTAAAAGTACAAATACAGTCAGTTTCACAATTACTGCTTGCACCCCCCCCCTCCACCAACCCAAGTTAAAAAACCACTGATGTAGCACATTGTAACACAGTTGTCTTGAAAGACAGAAAGATACTGATGTTGTTGAATGTTGAATTAAGAATCATATCACAGCACTCGGGACACTCCCATAAGCGCTCCATCCCCATCTTCAGCAGCAAAAAAGTGAAAATTCCGATGGTACAAGTAAAATTCTGATTGTATATCCGCCTCGCCCCTCCCCCGAGTGTCGAGCGTCGGCTAGATTCCCCTGTAACTCCTCGCAGGGCCATTCTCCTCAGACCGTAATGATCTATCTGTTCCTCTGCACTGTTCACTCGCTTCCAAAGGGCCCTCACAACATCCAGCTTGTCATATATCAGTTCACCAACAAGTGGCGCAGAACCGGCCAGTCTATCTGCCTGCTCATTTCCCACCACACCGGCGTTACCTGAAGAAAATATCCAAAGGATGCTAACTACCCGGGATACTGATAATTATAGCTAGTCTGACTTAGTAGTGGAAGAGAAATATCGTGAGATGGCAAGAAGCAGTTTTATTCTTTTATTATGAAGAAATTTATTGTTTGAGATTTAAAAAAAGAAAATAGCCAAATAAAACATAAAAAAAAAAATGATGTTGAAGATAAATTAGTTATCAAAAGCTGTCTACAGTTTATTACGCATGCGCGCTTACACACACACTTCTTCACGTTCACCGGATGTAAATTCCAGCAGAAAGTTTTGACTTAAGTCTTATTCCAGAACTTGAACTTCATGTGCACATCCGTTTGACAGATCTGGTGTATGTACGCAGCTGTTGGTTCATCATCTCTCTGCAGATGCACTCTGACTACAAAGAAAGCATCCCTAATTAGTTGACTTTTAGGACATGCTTGTTAAGGGCGCAGTGAGTCTGCTTTTTATTTGCCACCTGAATTGGGTCCGGAACTTTTACAGGGAAAACACACGCTCGTACGCGTGCACACACACACACACACAGAGGGGGGAGGAGGAGAGGTTAAACAGATTGAATAGAAAAACCAGTGCAATGAGCCTGAGACATCAGGTAGTATGTAAAAAATAGAAAAGGCTACATTTTTGTTGTTGATGCATTAAATGGCAGATTGTGAACTAGGTACTAAAAATGTAATGTATTTTTTAATATGTGTATATATAAATATATATATAAATATTTTTTCATTTCGTTAATCTAGTCGTTACATGCATCAATATCAGAAAAGAATCAGATCATTGCCAAGCTGGAAGAAGCACTGGCTGGTAAAGAGGAGATGATAGCTCAACTGAGAACAGATGTGCTCAAGGTAGATATGATTTCAATAGATATGATTTCAATAGATATGATTTCAATAGATATGATTTCAATAGATATGATTTCATTAGATATGATTTCAATAGATATGATTTCAATAAATATGAATTCAATAGATATGATTTCAATAGATATGATTTTATTAGAAATGATTTCAATAGATATGATTTCAATAGATGTGCTCAAGGTAGATATGATTTCGTTAGATATGATTTCAATAGATATGATTTCAATAGATATGATTTCAATAGATATAATTTTATTAGAAATGATTTCAATAGATATGATTTTAATAGATATTATTTCAATAGATATGATTTTAATAGATGTGCTCAAGGTAGATATGATTTCATTAGATATGATTTCAATAGATATGATTTCAATAGATATGATTTCAATAGATATGATTTCAATAGATATGATTTCAATAGATATGATTTCAATAGATATGATTTTATTAGAAATGATTTTAGTAGATATGATTTCAATAGATATGATTTCAATAGATATGATTTCAGTAGATGTGCTCAAGGTAGATATGATTTCATTAGATATGATTTCAATAGATATGATTTCAATAGATATGATTTCAATAGATATGATTTCAATAGATATGATTTCAATAGATATGATTTCAATAGATATGATTTCAATAGATATGATTTCAACAGATGTGCTCAAGGTAGATTTGATTTCAAGACATTTTTGCTTTGCTTAGCTAAGGGAAAATGTGAAGATTTAATTGTTACTTTACTCATCGGTCAGTTGGTTGCTTTCTCCACAATGAAGATTTAATTGTTACGTTACTCATCAGTCAGTTGGTTGCTGTCTCCACAATGAAGATTTAATTGTTACTTTACTCATCAGTCAGTTGGTTGCTGTCTCCACAATGAAGATTTAATTGTTACTTTACTCATCAGTCAGTTGGTTGCTGCCTCCACAATGAAGATTTAATTGTTACTTTACTCATGAGTCAGTTGGTTGCTGTCTCCACAATGAAGATTTAATTGTTACTTTACTCATGAGTCAGTTGGTTGCTGTCTCCACAATGAAGATTTAATTGTTACTTTACTCATGAGTCAGTTGGTTGCTGTCTCCACAATAAAGATTTAATTGTTACTTTACTCATGAGTCAGTTGGTTGCTGTCTCCACAATGAAGATTTAATTGTTGCTTTACTCATCAGTCAGTTGGTTGCTGTCTCCACAATGAAGATTTAATTGTTACTTTACTCATCAGTCAGTTGGTTGCTGTCTCCACAATGAAGATTTAATTGTTACTTTACTCATCAGTCAGTTGGTTGCTGCCTCCACAGTGAAGATTTAATTGTTACTTTACTCATCATTCAGTTGGTTGCTGCCTCCACAGTGAAGATTTAATTGTTACTTTACTCATCAGTCAGTCGGTTGCTGTCTCCACAATAAAGATTTAAATGTTACTTTACTCATCAGTCAGTCGGTTGCTGTAAACACAATGAAGATTTAATTGTTACTTTACTCATCAGTCAGTCGGTTGCTGTCTCCACAATGAAGATTTAATTGTTGCTTTACTCATCAGTCAGTCGGTTGCTGCCTCCACAATGAAGATTTAAGGGGGGTTTAAAATAGGGTCTTGTTCAATTTTTTTAAGGTGATCCCAGGCAGAGAGGGTTAACTGTTTAGGCTTATGACAGCATCCATTAACTCTGTACTACCTGTCCTTAACAAACACAAGTAATTATGGATGAAGTAATATGTCTGAACAATAACAGGTTTATATTTATATGATACATTTTCATACATAATTGTTTCCTTATTTCCTTCCTGTGTTGTACAGAAGGATCAGGAAGTTGCCAAATGTAGAGACACAACAAAACAGTTGTTGGAGGACATGGAAGCCCAGCAGAAACTCAAGGAAAGCATTGCGGAAGAAAATAGAACACTGACAAAACAGATCATGCAGGCTGAACAGAAGCTGCACAGACAGATGCAGGTACATGAATTTTGTCAGAATTCTCATTGCTCGCCATTATGAAGCAGTTCATTTGCAGAACGTTACTCTCAGTACAACACGCTTAGTATTCCTCTGTCAGCTGTCATTTTTGCTGATGCCTGCCTCTCATTCCTGGAACCATATCCTCCATTACTATTCTTTCTGAACTTTTATGATGTTTAAAAATGGCTTAAATTATTTAAGCTTTCACAAAACAGTACTATCTTTGCCTTCCTCCCACCCCACCACCTTTTCAGAATTTCAGATCCTGAAGAATATCAGTATTTTGTCTTCTTCTTGGTTCATGATGATCATAGAATCCTCATATAGCATTTATGTTCAAAAGTTCTGATTTTATTTTTTATTTTAGTAATTGTAAAATAGCCCGTATCTCCCATTCGTATGTTGGCATAGGAGAGATTCATGTTCTGAAAATTGGTATTCAATTTTTAATTTGTTTGCTGATGCTACACCAAAAGCTGTTCATACATTGTAACATCTGTGTTACTAAAACAGTTGTATTCTTGGTTATGATGAGTTTCTCATGGTGCATAATTTATTAATTGTGCTTGCTCTCCATATCATTATGATTTTAATACTTTTACTGTTAACAAGTGGTTTGGACACCTAACAAGAATGCCCTGGTACTATCCACCACTCTGCTGTAAAGTAAGGTTAAAGACTACACTGGCTACTCTGCCGTAAAGTAAGGTTAAAGACTACACTGGCTACTATGCTGTAAAGTAATTTTAAAGACTACACTGGCTACTCTGCCGTAAAGTAAGGTCAAAGACTACACTGGCTACTCTGCCGTAAAGTAAGGTTAAAGATTACACTGGCTACTCTGCTGTAAAGTAAGGTTAAAGACTACACTGGCTACTCTGCTGTAAAGTAATTTTAAAGACTACACTGGCTACTCTGCTGTAAAGTAATTTTAAAGACTACACTGGCTACTCTGCCGTAAAGTAAGGTTAAAGACTACACTGGCTACTCTGCTGTAAAGTAATTTTAAAGACTACACTGGCTACTCTGCCGTAAAGTAAGGTCAAAGACTACACTGGCTACTCTGCCGTAAAGTAAGGTTAAAGACTACACTGGCTACTCTGCGGTAAAGTAAGGTTAAAGACCCTTTTCTGCACCTTTAGGCAAATTTGGCATGTAATATATAGATCATTTAACACTTGTTGGGTGATATAATCACCATCCCACCTGCTGCCTTTACTGCCCAGAACTTTACCTTGTATCCACTTAAGACTAGGTTGACCTGGGAGCCAGTGTCATTTTAAAAAAAAAGGTCAGACTCTGTTCAGATCTGAACCCATACTTCTATGGTGTAGCCACTACACCATGGCGGCTGCCCTCTGCACTGAGCTAAAAAATTATAATTACAGGCATTAAAGACAGTTTGGTTTTTATATATGTCGACCCGGCCTTAAATGGGTACCAGGTAAAGTCCTGGGAAGTAAAGACGGCCAGAGTGATACTGACCACATCATCCACTGAGTGCCCATTGGTCTACAAAATATAGGTCTAGCCCTATATACCTAGTACACCTGAAGTTGTGGAAAAAGCTTCTTTACTTTGGTGTTATATTTTATGTATACATTTTTTTAGTAGTAAACATAACATGAATGCCGAACTCCTTTTCATATATCCATATATTTAATTCATCAGTAAAAAAGGGTAAAGAATGCCCCTGCTATCTTTGAAGAAGTTTCCCCTAAACATACAATCAAGCAGAATAATCAATGATTGCACACTAAGTAAACAATATATCCACCATGTTGACACAATCTTGGTAAGATTGTCTAATTATTCATAGTACAATTTCTATCATAATCTCGACCCATATCAATGCAAAACGTGAAACAATACAAATTACACTTTGGTCAAATAAATAACTACTTGATATATAAATGTAAAATAACATATATTCTCTAAGACCTCAAAACACTTATATCCCAGTTTTAACCCTGAGGGTTAAAAAAGATAAAAACTACTACTACTACTCATCTTAAAAAAAATACATACTTTGTTTACTTCAAGGCTGTGATATCAACTACCAGACGGGAGATTGAAGCAGAGCAGCTGTATTCCACTGGGGCAGCATCAGCGGCAGCTGCAGGTCTAAGATTGGAGAAGAACACGGATGACAACAAAGAGAACTTTAGTTTCCCAGAAAATGTGGAAGATCTGTTGACAATTGCAAAGTCTCTTGAGGTCTGCAGCTTCTGATTTGTGTGTGTGTGTGTGTTTGTGTTTAAATGAAAGTTTTTATTGTCACCCTTTTTATTCTTCCTTTGCTGCTTCATTCCAGTCTTAGAGCATCAGGAAATTAATACCTTGCATATGCACGCACACATATGTACACAAAAGCAAACATACACAAATGCAGAAGACACATTGCGATTATCTTGAACCAGACTTATTTTCTGACTCTCTACATACTGTTATGAACAAAAGAGCACTGTAGAAGATGTGGACTGCGCACTTATGGGAGTGTCCTCAGTGCTGTAATGTCGATCTTAATTCAACATTCAGAGCACTAGAATTTAAACTGGTGACAGTCCTGTGTGTGTGATCCAGAAGAGGCCCCCTTAGAACACATATTTAGAATTACTGAATCTTCTTCTTCGTCATGTTCACTGGCTGTAAACTCCGTCAGAAAGTTCTGCTTGTTCCTCCACCTTAATAAGACTTTAGACTTGTTCCAGAATCTGAGTGTTGCGTGCACATCGGTTTTACAAATCTGACTTATTTGTATGCAGACTCTTGGTTCCTTGCCTCTCAGGCAGATGCTCTCTGACTTTGAAGGAAACTTCCAGTTTCTCTTACGACATGCTTTTTGGGGAGGCAGTAGGTCTATTCTTGTTTTCCCCCACAATGAGGCCCAAGAACCCACGCAGGGAAATTATGGAGTGGTCCTTTGAATGTTTTTCGCCCCAAACACACCGTAAGTGGCCGTTCATTCATGCTTCGTGACATTTCACGAGAGAGTGCAGCCTACGTCCCATGGTTTCAGAATTGTCAACATTTTGCAGTGGGCACTAAAAACGCTGCTCTCCTTGTCGCTCCTTACTGCTGAAAGTTGAAGTAAATTTATCTCCTACTTGAAGTCAGACAAAGCTATAGTATACGCAATCTCACCGGCTGCTTGCATGAACCAGTACGCAACGTGCAATATACACATTGCAACATCATACCCATGTAACTTGGACTGACGAGTGTGAAAGGTCATGAAGCATGAATAAATGGTGTGTTTGGGGTGGAAAACATTACTAGACCCTATGGAATGATCTTTGCCAAGAAGTTGGAACTACAGGTGACTGATATATATATACAGTCATAGTGGGCAGCATGTCACAATAATGGCTGAGGGTTAGGTTAAAGCAACATCATTTTACTTTCACACAGTGGCTGAGATAATAGAGGTTAACAAGACAGGAACACAGCAAACTACATATCATTTTAATTGTTGCATGTCATAGAAGATGACTGATTAGAGGTGTGCCCTTCATAGTCAGAGTGCATATGCTTAAAGGCAAGTCTGCCTACAAATAAGGCAGATCTGTAAAATAGATGTGCATGCGAAACTCAAGTTTTGGATCAAGAACACAGTCCAACAGTGTACAAACAACTAGAACTTTCTGACAAGGTTTTCAGAACACAGTCCAACAGTGTACAAACAACTAGAACTTTCTGACGACAAGGTTTTCAGCCTGTGAATGATGGGGAGAAGATTTTAACTAGTTATTGCTCATTTGTATTTCTCTTCCTATTTACATCTTTCTGTTTCTTTTCCTCTCTTGTGTATATCTTCTTACATGGTATAATGGCTAGGGTGACCAGTTCTGCATGGAAACTATTTTTAGACAAAGTAATTGCAACCTGCTGTGAAAATATCCTGGTTGTGACACATTCCTGTACATGCTGATACTTCTAGTTGTGACACATTCCTGTACATACTGATACTTCTAGTTGTGACACATTCCTGTACATGCTGATACTTCTAGTTGTGACACATTCCTGTACATGCTGATACTTCCAGTTGTGACACATTCCTGTACATGCTGATACTTCTAGTTGTGACACATTCCTGTACATGCTGATACTTCCAGTTGTGACACATTCCTGTACATACTGATACTTCCAGTTGTGACACATTCCTGTACATACTGATACTTCCAGTTGTGACACATTCCTGTACATGCTGATACTTCCAGTTGTGACACATTCCTGTACATACTGATACTTCCAGTTGTGACACATTCCTGTACATACTGATACTTCCAGTTGTGACACATTCCTGTACATGCTGATACTTCTAGTTGTGACACATTCCTGTACATGCTGATACTTCTAGTTGTGACACATTCCTGTACATGCTGATACTTCCAGTTGTGACACATTCCTGTACATGCTGATACTTCTAGTTGTGACACATTCCTGTACATGCTGATACTTCCAGTTGTGACACATTCCTGTACATGCTGATACTTCTAGTTGTGACACATTCCTGTACATGCTGATACTTCTAGTTGTGACACATTCCTGTACATGCTGATACTTCCAGTTGTGACACATTCCTGTACATGCTGATACTTCTAGTTGTGACACATTCCTGTACATACCGATACTTCCAGTTGTGACACATTCCAGTACATACTGATACTTCCAGTTGTGACACATTCCAGTACATACTGATACTTCCAGTTGTGACACATTCCTGTACATGCTGATACTTCCAGTTGTGACACATTCCTGTACATACTGATACTTCCAGTTGTGACACATTCCTGTACATGCTGATACTTCCAGTTGTGACACATCGCCATACATGCTGATACTTCCAGTTGTGACACATCCCCATACATGCTGATACTTCCAGTTGTGACACATTCCTGTACATGCTGATATTTCTAGTTGTGATACATTCCTGTACATGCTGATACTTCCAGTTGTGGCACATCCCCATACATGCTGATACTTCCAGTTGTGACACATTCCTGTACATGCTATTATTTCTAGTTGTGATACATTCCTGTACATGCTGATATTTCTAGTTGTGACACATTCCTGTACATGCTGATACTTCTAGTTGTGACACATTCCTGTACATGCTGATACTTCCAATTGTAACATATTCCTGTACCTGCCGATACTTCCAGTTGTGACACATTCCCATACATTCTGATACTTTCTGTTGCGACACACTCCTGTACATGCTGATTTATCATTATTTCTGCTGTGACCTGTTCTCGGAAAGTGTAGTTAAATACCATTGGTTCTGTATGCACCTGCACGTTATTTAGGAGTATGAATATATTACCTACAATTTTGATTTTGGGCATTTCCTTTGAACCAAATAGCTTTTTTAAGCTATTTCACAAAATGTGAAAATAAATAACTTGAATGTTCAAATGTGTATGCAAACTTGAAGAGGCAGAGAGGTGAGCTTTTGTATAAAAGGCAGACAGGGCGAGGGATGTATCAAGCAAACAGTGCAACAGAACTGATAGACCATCTTAACCTGGAGAGAATGATTTAGCTAGGAGCGAGCAAAGTGTCTGGATGATTTTCTACCCATAAGGAAAAACAAGTGAACTTTTACTCTGGTTGAACCTGGTACGTCAGTATCGAAACTCTTTATTAGCTTCTGAGGAAGGGGATGGAGCACATATGGGAATATCCGGACTACAGTAATGTCAGTTTTTGATTGATTGATTCATTTATTCATTCATTCAACTTACTTACTTAGTGACTCCTCTTCTACCTTGCGATGTAGATGTTTGCCAGAGAGATCACCAGACTTGCTCCATTCCAGTCCTCTGTCAACCAGGGACTGTCGGATGTTACGTTCCCAGCCAACTCTGGGTAGCCCTGGAGGTCTGGTTCCCTGGTTCTAAGTATCCAATGCCTGCAATTTTCTCCCATTCTGCATGCATGTCCAAACCATCATAACTGTGACTTGTCCACTCGAGTTTGTAAGGCCTGGATTTTAAGATACTGACATATTGTCTGACTGCGAACTTTGTCCCTTCTTGTCATTTGGACCACCCTTCTCAGATATCTCACTTCTAAGGCCTGAAGCTGGCTTCTTTGAGCTGTTGTCATTGCCCATGACTCACACCCATAGGTCAGGACTGGTACATAGGTAAAGCATTACACAGCTTTTTTTGGGTCCTCTTACCAATTTCTCTTTTGCTAAGAAATCTTCCGTTTATGGCCTGGAAAAGTCTCCAAGCAGCTGCTTTTTGAGTAACTAGCTCTGTGTTAATGTCTATTTTTTTAAATCTATTACAATTCCAGGGTATTTGAACTAGTTAACCTGCTCCTATGTGTACTGTCTTACCCTGATCTGGTGTTTCTTCTCCTCTCTTGAGATCACCATGGTTTTAGTTTTGGAAATACTGATGGTCATCCCTCTCTTTTCAAGCTCTTCCTTCCAGACAAGTAAGTTGGACTGTAGGTGTGCCTCTGATTTAGCTATCAGGGCCACATCGTCTGCAAATTCCAGCTCTTCTTCTTTCTTCTTCTTCGCGTTCGCCAGCTGTATACTCTGGCGGAAAGTTCTGGTTGCTCGTCCAGTACTGAACTCCAGACCTGCTCCAGAACCTGAGTGTTGCGTGTGCATCAGTTTTACAGATCTCATTCTCTTGAATACAGTTGGTTCCTTGTCTCTCCGGCAGATGCACTCCGACTTCAAAGGAAGCCCCCAAATTAGTCGACTCTTACGACATGATTTTGGGGAGGCAGTGGGTCCATTCTTGTTTTCCCCACAATGGGGAATTAACTCGCACGGGGGAAATACCAGCTCTGATATACAGATTGGTCTCATCTTCCAGTACTCTACAGCGTACTTCTTTGTCTTCTCCTTACAGGTCTTGATGACATCATCCATCATAAGAATGAAGAGGTAACATGAGAGAATATCACCTTGTCTAACACTGCTAGTGGTCTTCATTTCTTCTGACTTTTGGTTTGCTGGACCAGTGTATTCACAATGCCTGAGCCACAAATGCCCACAAGTGTTTTGCTTTAACTCTTTGAGTCCCAGGGGGTTTAGCATCACAGGCCCAAGGGGTAGTCAAGAAAGATGTAAAATCGGCGCATCTTGCGTTCATTGGGCTTCTAAGTAGGAATCTATGAACGTATGATGCGTTCCTTGGGACTCAAAGAGTTAAGCACTATATTTTTTGGCCCATGTTGTGCCAAATATTGTTTATATTTCTCTATTTCTTCAGCTGTGTTCCTGACTGCCAGGTATTGCTTTCATGCCTTTTTCTGTTCCTTTATTTTCAATTGTATCTCTTCCGTCTACCAAGGTGTTCTATGTCCCTTCCTTCCATGGGGACTTCACCACATGTTTCTACTACAGTTGCTGTGAGGATATTCTTGAATCTGCACCAGAGGGTTTCAGTGTCCTCTGATGGTTTTATTCATTCATAAGACAGAAAATTGGTACATTTAACATGGAAAAAGCTTGTGACCTTTAAAGGCTGAATAATATTATGAGAGACCTGGTTATAATTAGTAAATGGAGTTCATTATTTCAAAGGAATTAATACTCTAATTCTCTTTGAGTATTTTGATAAAGGAATAAATTTCACTAGTCAATTGATGTAACTTGCATGGTTGCACTCACAGGCTAAACAGCGAGAAGAAATCAGTACTGATCTCCTGATGAAGAATCTGGACCAAGAGAGGAAAAGCAAACAGATATTGCAAGACAGCATTGAAAAACTGGAAAAAGAGGTTAGTTTTTTTGTATTGTTTTTTATCTGTACGTGCAAACATTCAAGCTTCCTTATAATAGTCTAAAGTCATAAATAAGTACAGTGATACCTCAGAATCTTCTTCTTTTTCTGCCTTTCTAACCCCCTAATGGAGCATAGGCCCTCAACCAACTCACGCCAAGTCGTTCTATCCTTCGCCATTGCATGGAGCTCTCCCCATGTCCTTCCCATCTTTCTAACTTCATTCTTCAGCTCTCTTCTCCATGTATTTTTTGGCCTTCCTCAGAATCTAAATGCTCAAAAATAAAACTTTCAGAATCCGAACATTTTAAATAGTTTTTTTTTTTAACCTTGGAACTAGAACGCCATCCTGGAAACCAAAAGCCTGGCGAGTGCCGTTCACACGACTGAGCTGATATTGCAAGAGCTTCAGCGCCTTCACCAGTTGCAAAAGGTGGAAACAGCAGAACAAATATTTTCTGGGAAGGAAGAGGGAAAAGCTGGAAGGATTAGCACTGTAGAAATCTGTAATTTTTTGATGGTGCTATTGAAAATGCAAGAAGTTGTTGAGTGGCACCCTTATAAAACCCTAACTAACAGGTGTGTTAACCTTTTCATTGATAATCATTGATAACATTATCGACACAATTTTGAAAAAATCAAAATGGTCACCAACATCAGAGCACTTTGATATGCTAGCTGTCAGATAAACTAGTGACTCCAAATCCTCTACAAGTGATGAACAACTATGAAATGAAAAACCAACAAGGATTATTGTTGTCCTGGAGGGTAACTCATTTTTCAAACAATTGTCTTCCTAAATGTCCTTTTTTTGCCTCTCCTATTTCTGTGTGCTGTGTCACCATTTTGATCAAGGTTCAGTAATATAAAAATCTTTTCTTTAAGAAAAAAAAAGGGGCAAAGGGTCTAGACCTATATTTTATAGACCAATCGGCACAAGGTGGGTGATGTGGTCAGCATCAAGCCGCCCGCCTTTACTTTGCAGGACTGCACCTGGTACCCACTCAAGCCGCCCGCCTTTACTTTGCAGGACTGCACCTGGTACCCACTCAAGCCGCCCGCCTTTACTTTGCAGGACTGCACCTGGTACCCACTCAAGCCGCCCGCCTTTACTTTGCAGGACTGCACCTGGTACCCACTCAAGCCGCCCGCCTTTACTTTGCAGGACTGCACCTGGTACCCACTCAAGCCGCCCGCCTTTACTTTGCAGGACTGCACCTGGTACCCACTCAAGCCGCCCGCCTTTACTTTCCAGGACTGCACCTGATACCCACTCAAGGCTGGGTCGACCTGGGACCCAAGGTACATTTAAAAAAAATAAAGTCCAGCTCTGCCAGGCAGCGAACCCACGACCTTCTAATCCGCAGGCGAGCATCTCGCCATTTTGCCACAGTGACTTCCCTAATATATCTCTCTCTTTTTTTTAAAAATAATTGTGTTAAGATATGATCATCATGCGCTGTTATGTTAACAGAGTATTGTACTTAGAAAAATACATGTTCAAATTTGAGTATGGTGACCCTGGAAAAAGATTGATTTAGTTTCCATTTTTTTCAGTCATACAAATTTGCATAGGAGCTTGAAATATTTACAATTCGTATGCCGTCTCTGAACAGATTATATTCAGATTCCGAAATACCATTGTGAATGAATATTTAATGACAGAGTAGAGATAACTGACAACTGAGAATTCCGCTATCTTGATCAATCCCTCCCTTTTCCTTCCCCATTAATCAGCATTGCCTGATCATTTCAAATTTAGTTCTAAACAGTGCAGACATAGATACTTTGACCTAGGTAAAATAATTTGATACAAAATATAGATATAACAAAATTAATAATTTTTCTTATTTAACTGTTCAGTCTACTTTAAAAAAATGGCAAAGTATTTTTATTTTATTTTAATGTGTGCTTTCAGGACTTATCAGAGAAGACTAGGTGTCCAATCTACTACCCTAGAATTAGGAAAAAAAATATATTATTCTTGCCTTTTTAAAAAAAAATCCACTCAGTCCTCATGAATTGAACAGTCCTGCGTGAGCAGTAAGTGGATGTCAGAATTTCCTTGCTGTTCCACTTCCTTGTATGTGTGCACATAAATGTGTGTATGTGCATGAGTGTGTGTATGAGTGTGTGTATGTTCATATGTGTGTAAGTTTGTGCAGGTGTGTGCATGAGAATGTGTGTATAAGCATGTAAGTATGTACGTGTGTTCAGTAGAGTATTCACATATGCAGCTTTATAATACACACCATATTTGTAATCATTATTATATACCATTTGTAATGTGTATGTTTCAATTATATTTTCTATTACAGCTTCAGGAAATGCACTTGAAACAAGCAGAGAAGAACAAAGAACTGGAAGAGATGCAACAGAGAGCTGCAGACACTGCTGAGAAGCTTGCACAGGATTATGAACAAAAATTGACAGACATGGCCAAGAACAGCTATAGCAGGGTAACCATGTTTGTGTTATGTTTAAAATTGAACACAGTTAAAACAGATATGATCGTGAAGCACAGTTCTCTTCTTCTCTTCCTCTGTTTATTTTATCTGTATTATCAACGTGTTGGGAGGGGGGGGGGGGGGGGGGAATTTGGGCCCTTTCTAATGTGTTGCAAAAGTTGATATTCACTTCTTTAGGTTTTTTGCTCCAAGAAGCCACAGATCAATACTTCTAATTGGGTCCAATTCCCCATAAATGTAAGTTTCCTGACTTGTCTGAGTATGCACCTGCACAAACATTTAGGAAGTCAGGTCATGAATATATTGGTTAAAATATCATTTAGAGGGTTTTCATGTAAACAGATAGCTTTTCAAAAGCCAGGTTGATGACATAATTTACAATAAACCCTATTGATAGAGGTCACAGGTTCATGGCATGTCACCTCATACATATTGTTGTTTAGGCCCTAGGGAATGTATTTTATTTAAGGCCTCACTCTGTGTTTACTCCTTGTATATATCTTTATATATTAAGATTTTTTAAACATTCATAATTTAACACAGTAAAAATATAACTGTTTAAAAAAAAATTCATTAGTGACCTGTATAAATTAAAAAAATTTTTTTTTCAATTTCTGGAATTCTGAAAGCGTGTGACCAGTTTTTTAAAGCTCTACAAGGCAGCACTATTAAGGCTGTTTTTGATGCTATCATTCCACTTCTGCATAGTCCTCCTTTTGCTCTGTGTTCATTATATTTCTTCAGCCTAGCTGTCCGTGTATTAGATGGTACCACAGCATTCTCGTGAAATGGCCAAACCATCTGATCTGTTGCTGTTTAATAAACTATGTGACTGGTTTCAGTCCTAATCTTTTTAGAATTTCTTCATTTTTGATATAGTCTGTTGTTGTTATTCTGGTAGCTCTTCTAAGACATCTCATCTCTAGGATATTGTGAGTTTGCACTCATTAGTTAAAGTAAGAGTTCTTTGGGGGGGGGGGGGGTGTTTGGGAGGCACTGGTAGCAGAAAGTTGGTCACAAAAGTAGCCCTTTTTAGATTTACCTAAAAGTATAAGACATACCAAAAGAAGAAAGGGATGCAGAGTCCTCGGAATGTCCTCTATGCAGTGGACATTCTGAGGATTTTGGAAGCAACTTGTCCACATCTCTGCTAAGAATTCAAGAATTTCAGTAAAAATCAGCACAGCCAAGCAGGAAAAGCAGACTGGACGCACACAAGGTTGTGTTAACCAGCGTAGGGCTGGCACTATTAACCGCACAGACACTGATAAATATGTAGAGAGGGGAATCTGAGCCCCTGTAGATGTGTCTGGAGTGCTGTGAAGATAATCTAACTCATAACTCAAGGATGCAGAGCCCAAGGTAGATCAAGGTGGGAAGCTAACATCAAAGAAACCCTTAAAACAGTATTAGGTGTCTTTGGTTGAGGCTGTCAGAAAAGTAACAGCCAGAACCTGAAATCTCCATTGGCACTCAAAGTGGCAAAAGAGAAAGTGAAAAACATGCCTCAGTAGTGTAGCAACTAGATGCTCACCTGCTTTCCTTGGGTCTTGGGTTGAAAAACATTGAGCCATAATAAAAAAAAAATACATATGCTTCCAGGTAGACCCAACCTAAAATAGACACTAGGCAAAGTCCTGGGAGGCAAAGGCAGCTGGTGTGAGGCTGAACATATCACCCATCAAGGGCCAGTTGGTCTAGCATCCTGTGTCTGATGCTTCACTGGCATAAAAGGGTCTTTTACTTTCATTAGCATTTTTATTTTATTTATTTACTCTTCCCGTTGAAGACATTTGGCAACTCCAGCTCTTCATATTACATATATTTAGCAACTCCAGCTCTTCCGGTTATAGACATTTAGCAATTTTAACTCTTAATATTACATATATTTAGCATCTCTAACTCCAGCTCTTCACATTACAGATATTCAGCAACTCAAACTCTTCCAGTTGTAGACATTTAGCAACTGTAGCTTTTCCAGTTTTATACATTTAGCAACTCCAAGTCTTCCAGTAATAGGCATTTAGCAACTCCAGCTCTTCACATTACAGATATTTAGCAACTCTATCTCTTCCATTATAGTCATTTAGCAACTGTAACCCTTCCGGTTTAAGGCATCTAGCAACTCCAGCTCTTCACATTACAGATATTCAGCAACTCAAACTCTTCCAGTTGTCAACATTTAGCAACTCCAGCTCTTCACATTACAGATATTCAGCAACTCAAACTCTTCCAGTTGTCAACATTTAGCAACTCCAGTGCTTTACATTACAGATATTCAACAACTCAAACTCTTCCGGTTGTCAACATTTAGCAACTCCAGCTCTTTACATTACAGATATTTAGTAACTCCAAATCTTCCAGTAATCAAAGTTTAGCAATTCCATCTTTTCCAGTTATGGACACTTAGTTATGGATATTTAGCAACTCCATCTCTTCGGTTATCAACATTTAGCAACTCCATCTCTTCCAGTTGTAGACACTTAGAAACTCCAGCTCTTTCAGTTGTAGACATTTAGCAACTCAAGCTCTTCCAATTGTATACATTTAGCAACTCCAACTCTTCAAGTCGTAGACATTAAGCAGCTCCAACTCTTCTGGTTATAGACATTAAGCAACTCCAACTCTTCTGGTTATAGACATTAAGCAACTCCAACTCTTCTGGTTATAGACATTCAGCAGCTCCAACTCTTCTGGTTACAGACATTAAGCAACTCCAACTCTTCTGGTTATAGACATTAAGCAACTCCAACTCTTCTGGTTATAGACATTAAGCAGCTCTAACTCTTCTGGTTATAGATATTTAGCAACTCCAACTCTTCAAGTTGTAGACATTAAGTAACTCCAACTCTTCAAGTTATAGACATTAAGTAACTCCAACACTTCCGGTCATAGAAATATAACAACTCCAGTGTTAAACTTTAATGTCTCTATTTTAGCCCATCCAAGCTAGTAACACAGAAGATGTATCCATTCTTCGGTCACAAGTTCTTTCCCTGATAAGAGAAGTGGATGAAACCCAGAACAAGTTATCTGCTGCCAAGGCTGCTTTGCACCACAAGGATAACAGAATCATGGAGCTGGAACACATTAACCAGACACTGAGAAAAGAAAATGATGACCACATTCAGGAGGCACTCATCCTAAAGCAGCATTTACGTACACAGATTAGTCAACAGCAGAAATCACAGCAGGAGAACAGCTATATTAAGTAATTTATTATCTACTTAGTTTTTTTAAGGGTCTTAGTTTGAAAAGCAGAAAAACAGAAGTAAATTATGTTATGTAAGTTATTATCTACCTAATTGTGTCAAAGGTTTTTGTTTCAATAGCAGAAAAACAGAAATAAAACCCTTATACTACGTACGTTATCTACTTAGTTGTTTCAAGGGTGTTAGTTTGAATAGCATAAAATCAAAAGTAAAGCAATATTGTTATGTAAGTTATTATCTACTTAGTTGTGTCAAGGGTCTTAGTTTGAATAGAAAAAAAAAGTAAAACATGTTGCATAAGTTGTTTATCTACACTCTGTCAAAGGTCAGCTTAAAAAGAGAAAAAAACAGAAGTAAAACAGTTATGTTACATAAGTTATTATCCACTTAGATATTTCTGGTTTTTTTCTTTATTGAAAAGTGGAGATCATCCCAGGAAAACAGTAATGTTGAGTAAGTAATTATCTACTTTGATGTGTCAGTTCCCTGTATGGGCTCCGTGGGTTCATTTTGGAGAACAAAGAATAGACCCACGACTAATAGACGCAACTAATTAGGGGTGTTTTCTTCAATATTGGAGTGCATCTGCCTGAGAGGCAAGGAACCAACAGTCTGCATACAAATAAGCCGGATCTTTAAAATGAATATCTGGATGAAGACCAGAGTGGATGAACAACCAGAACTTTATACCAGAGTTTATACAGCTGGTGAACACTAAGAAAAAGATTTTTTTGGAGCAGCAGAGATCATCGTAGGAAAACAGTTGAGTTAGTTAACCCCCCCCCCCCCCCCCTCTCCTCCCCCCCCCCCCCCTCTTCGTTTTTAGCTGCAGGAACATGGTTAGCTAAGCAAACTTTGGTAAACAGTTTGTTAATCAACCAATCATCCTCATTGTACATTGGACAAATCCATGTGCTCGGATCCCATCTTCAGTATCTCCTTCAGTGTGGTGACTGATTACACCAGTTCTCTAATGGTCTGCCATTCTTCTTTGGCTACTTGTGTAGTGTTTATGTCTGGAAACGCCACTTATTCTTGCCCAGGTTGTCGATTCACCATCATCTCTTGAATCACCTACTGACCCTGCCTCCTTTAAAGCATTGAGAACGTTGGCCCAGTCCATTGCCTTTCCTGTGCCAGTTGGAGACTCCAACAAGCAAAATTGGCTTGTCCATTCCTTCTTACCCCAGACTGTCCTGGCACAAAAGTAAAACTGATTTTACTCAAAAGTAAAAATCATTGTCTTTGAACCTATCCTGTATCAATCTTTTTACGTATGTCCATGATATCAGTTTTGCTGTGTTAGTTTGAAAGCAAAAATCACTGTAGGAAATTAAGTTTTAATTAAGTATGTTATTGTCTGCTTTGTAATGTAATTTTTTTTTTTAAAGCAGCAGTCACCCCAGGAAAACATTTATCTACATCTCATAAGATCATTTGATAAACAAGATAAGGGAATTGGGAGAGAGAGATTCAGTCAGCTGATAAACAAGATAAGGGAATTGGGAGAGAGAGATTTAGTCAGCTGATAAACAAGATAAGGGAATTGGGAGAGAGAGAGATTCAGTCAGCTGATAAACAAGATAAGGGAATTGGGAGAGAGAGATTCAGTCAGCTGATAAACAAGGTAAGGGAATTGGGAGAGAGAGATTCAGTCAGCTGATAAACAAGATAAGGGAATTGGGAGAGAGAGAGATTCAGTCAGCTGATAAACAAGATAAGGGAATTGGGAGAGAGAGATTCAGTCAGCTGATAAACAAGGTAAGGGAATTGGGAGAGAGAGATTCAGTCAGCTGATAAACAAGATGAGGGAATTGGGAGAGAGAGAGATTCAGTCAGCTGATAAACAAGATAAGGGAATTGGGAGAGAGAGATTCAGTCAGCTGATAAACAAGATAAGGGAATTGGGAGAGAGAGATTCAGTCAGCTCACTGTGTATGAAGTGTTCTGAATTAGGCAGTATCTGAAACAAAATCTTTCTTTACAGAATTTGGTGTAAGGTCATCAGATATGACATTGTAGGTTACCGGGAGAGTTCAGCTAGAAATAGCTATGTGTTTTTAGTTGGATAAGCACAGAAGTTATTATTTTTTCTTTTGCAGAATAGAAAAACTGGAGTATGGCGTAATAGTGGGAGGTTGGAGAAGAAGAGAGAGGAAGGGAAATGTTAATGCAGTTAAGCATCAGGACACAGAGAAACGGCCTAGGAAGGATTCATAGTCTGTGCAACTGAAGTTTGTAGACACAAAGGTGTTCAGAGTTTCCTGGGGTCTGCTATATGAATTTATGAGCCTTGAGAAGATCAAATTCTCTAAAACAACTCTTACTTACTTACTCAAGTTGCTCCTCTTCTACCTTGGGGGGGGGGGGGGGGGGGGGGGGGGGGTTGCCAGAGAGATCGCCAGACATCTCTTTTAGCAGTTTTCTTTCTGGCTATGTTCCATTCCAGTCCTCTGTCAGTTATGGCTGTTATGGTCACCCTGGAGGTCTGGTTCCCTGGCTCTTATCCTCCTATGCCTGCCATGGTGGCCATTTTTCTCCCATTTGGCATACATGTCCAACCCATCGTAAAACTGACTGATCCACTCGAGTTTTTAAGGCCTGGGTTTCACAAAACAACTCAGATTTAGTTTATTTCATAATGAGCGGGTAGGCTTGAGTTCTTCATATACATTAATGCATGCATTAATACAAAGTCTGCCCATCTGTCATGGATATAACTAAATACAAAACCAACTAGATTTAGAAGACTTAGTGAAGGGAAAAGAAAAGACAATATGCACAAATACAGTTGAATGTTTCCATCAGAGAGTCTTTATTAGTGGACAAAATAAGGTCAACATGGAACATGTAGTAGGAGAATATATGAACAGAAACAGCTGTTATAGAACAAAAACTTTCAAGACTTTGCCTACCCATTGCATTTGTGTGTCATGTTTAATAGCCTATTGTTGCTAGAGACACCGATTTGGATCCAGTTGTGCTTGTTGAATGATGCCTTGAACAAGCTTAAGAAGATCGAGCGAGACAGGGTGGATTCAGACAATGGTAGGAGTCTCTAATGAAATCTCATCTGACAGGAGATTTATTATTTGTGACAGGACACTTTTGGGTAATAGGACATAAACAAGTGGATTGGCTTGCTGGCAGGGCCATGTTAGGCACAAGAATAGCAGTGGACCTGGCCAATGTTCTCAGTCAGGCTAGGCAAATAGGTGATTCAGGAGGTGACTGTGAATCGAGAACCTTCATATACAAAAAGAAGTGTTGTCAGATATGAACACTATACAGGTTGCCAAAGAAGAATAGCAAACAAAGACAGAACTGGTGTTATCAGTTGCTACACGGTGAGGTTGATGCTGAAGATGGGATCTGAGCACTTATAGACTTGAATGATGAGGATCAGTAGATTAACCAACTAACTAACTAACTAGTCTGTTTTGTCTGTTGATAAAGAAACAGAGGGGGAACCTTTGAGGCCGTTAAATATTATGAATTAATCAAGTAACAGAAAGTGTATTGATCGGCACTCGTAGAAAGAAGTAGACAGATAGAACAACACACTAGACAACATAAAAATCGAAAGCTATAGCTACTGTGCCGGGAATTGAACCTGTCACCTCCAGATGGCATCTGCGCCTCACCATGAATACAAGTGCACTAAGAACATTGTCAACTAGGCACCCCCAAAAAAGGGTGTCTTTTTGGCCATGTATATCATTGTTTTGTCTATTAATAATGATTCTCTGGTTGAAACAATATGTATTTGTGCATATCTGTTTCTTTCCCTCAGTTAAGCTGTCTAGTCTTAGTTTGTTGTGTGTTTCGTTATTTCTCGATATCAGCTCTACTACAACAATTTTTTTTTAAAGTAATCACACAGACACAACTGACAAATATGATTCTTTCTCATTCTTACACAGAAGTCAGTATGAGCAGCTTCAGTATTCATTTAGCGCACTGGTCACTGACTACAAGGAGCTGCAGGAGACCTTTGAAACATATCGGCTACAGATGGTTTGTAATCACTTCTTCAAAATAATTTTCACAATCATTGTTCTAATAGCCAAATTGCATTTTCAATCAGTTAAGTGTCCATCTTCTGTTTCACTAGTTAGGGTTAATAATACATTGAGTCTCCCCCCCCCCCCCCCCCCCCCCAAAAAAAAAAAACATACTACCATTACAATTACTGCCTGAAATTACTACTTTTGTTTTGCTGGCAGGGGAAGGGGGGAAGTGGGGGGGGGGGGGGGCTTAAAGCTTGGGGATTTAAGGCCTCACAGCTAGTGCTGTCACCCTGGACTGAGCAGGTTGGGAATTTGATTTTGCCCCCCGAAAGAAAAAAAAAATCCTAAACCATACTCAGGATTCGAACCCTCGTCTCCCTTTTGAGAGCCCTGTATTCTTAGCTGTTCAGCCAGCCCCTCCTCAGTAATACATTAAGTGCTTTTTATGAGTAACCTAACTTTTCAGAATTGATACCATGCAAACTGTTTAGGTTTTGGTTGTTATCACCATTTTTTTTTTACTGTTAACATAATTCCCATTTCTCTTTTTGAAATGTTGGTGTAATTAATAATACATTCATGTCCAGTTGTGAATAACCTACCTTATCAGCAATAAAACCTGGAAAACAGCTCAGGTTAAGTTGTAGAACTTACTATGTAGGAAGGAAGTTATCTTTCAGGGATGTGTTGAAGGAATGTAGGGAGGAATTACCATTTGATAACATTGTTCATTTCAAGATCAAAGTCACTGTACATCCACCATACCCATAAGTGTTCCAATCTTATCCTTAGCATGTTTATTTGTGTGTTTATGCCTGCTGGTTCCTGTTCTGTACTGGTTGATGTAGTGACTGGGCTCTTGCATGGTTTTCTTGTCATGCTACTTCAGTAGTTATATCTAGATTTCGCTTCTGAGTCAGAAAGAAAAAAATCATCCTTATTTTTGAGGTCTTTGCTTCTGAGTCAGAGAGAAATCATCTTTATTTTTTTAGGTATTCGCTTCTGAGTCAGAGAGAAATCATCCTTATTTTTTAGGTCTTCGCTTCTGAGTCAGAGAGAAATCATCCTTACTTTTGAGATCTTCACTTCTGAGTCAGAGAGAAATCATCCTTATTTTTGAGGTCTTTGCTTCTGAGTCAGAGAGAAATCATCCTTATTTTTGAGAGGTCTTCGCTTCTGAGTCAGAAAGAAAAAAATCATCCTTATTTTTGAGGTCTTTTCTTCATCCTTACTTTTGAGATCTTCACTTCTGAGTCAGAGAGAAATCATCCTTATTTTTGAGGTCTTTGCTTCTGAGTCAGAGAGAAATCATCCTTATTTTTGAGAGGTCTTCGCTTCTGAGTCAGAAAGAAAAAAATCATCCTTATTTTGAGGTCTTTTCTTCTGAGTCAGAGAGAAAACAATCATACTTATTTTTGTGGTCTTCGCTTCTGAGTCCAAGAGAAATCATCTTTATTTTTGAGGTCTTTTATTTGCATTGTCTCTCTTGTAGCATTAACTCTTTCACTCACAGGGGGTTCAGCGAGAGACATCAAATTGGTATTTCTTGCATTCTTTGGGATCTAGGTAGGAACTTTGGGAATGAAAGAGTTAACTATTTTAATGTTAACATTCAAGACTCTGCAGGTCATATCACTGACGAAGTTAACTTTTTTTTCATCTCACCGTGTGGAGTTGTGAATATAATTTACAGATATATCTGTACAGAACTGCTGTATGTGGGGGCCCTGTCAGATGCCAGTCTTGTTACATGGCCAAAACATTTCATTTGTTGTCTACCTATGAAGTTCAGTATTGGTTATATACAGACTCTCCTTCTGATATATTCCTAAGTCGATTTTTCCTCATTAATATAGTAAGTAAACATTTCATTTCTGTTGTGATTTGAATATAGATTCATGCAGATTCCAGGGCGGGCTCAGTTTTGGAAAACACAGTACGGAGTCACTGCCCCTCTGACAAGCATGTCATAAGATGGCGACTAAATAGGGGGTGTTTCCTTCAGAGTTGGAGAGCATCTGCCAGAGAGGCAAGGAACCAACAGTCTGCATACAAATAAGCCAGATCTGTAAAATGTATGTGCACTCAAAACCCAAGTTCTACATAAAGACCAAAGTCCAGAAGTGGATGAACAACTAGAACGGTTCATCTGTGTTTAAGCCGATGAATGCTAAGATAAAGAAGAATAAAGTAAACTTCCTAACATGTTTTCGTTCACCTGTTTTGAAATATTTTGCTATTAATGAAAATTTCAATTCACTCCTTGTTTCTGTCTTTTTGTTTGTGTTTGTTTTTTTAGAAGATTTCCATAAATTCTTTCATACATTCCATTTTCAACTGGACATACTTTTCATTTTTCCCTGCATTTTGAACAGGAAAGACAGCCGCCTTCTAAAGTCAGGAAAGAAACAATGGAGGAGATCAATCGTCTAACAGCACAAGTCATAGCTGCAGATGAGGCCATTGCTCATAAAGATGAGCAACTGGCTAAAGTTAAAAATGAGAAGGATGAAAATATACAACTTCTCCAGTTTCAGGTAAGTTGTAAGGATAAGGAAGTTTTTTAACATCACTGGTAATTGCTTATAAAGATAAGCAGCTGACAGAAACGGAAAGGATGAAATATACAACTTCTCCAGTTTCAGGTAAGTTGTAAGGATAAGGAAGTTTTTTAACATCACTGGTAATTGCTTATAAAGATAAGCAGCTGACAGAAACGGAAAGGATGAAATATACAACTTCTCTAGTTTCAATTAAGTTTTAAGGATGAGATTAGTTTTCTTGTCATGAGCAACAGTTTTTACATTTAATAAACTTTAAAATGTAATTTCTAGGATTGCACATGTATTGTTGTGTTAGGGGAAGTCAATGAGTAAGTCACAAATAGTTTAAAAAAAAAATAAATAAATTACGATTACAACTTGAAAACCATTTATTTTTACACATATACTGTCCCTTTATTTCAACATAATTTCTACCAACTTTGATGTGCACTTGTCTTATCATTTGATCAGACCTCCCAAACCTGTGCATAGATCTGCATGCTCAGTTTTCTTAACCACATTTTCACTTCACATTCAACTTCTGCATCATTCACGAAATGTCTCCTGCCAAGGTGGGTTTTCAGTGGACCAAAAAGGTGGAAATCGCTAGGGGCTAAGTTGGTGCTGTATGGTGCATGTTCCAGAAGTTCCCACCCTAGATGGTTAATTTCCTCCTGAGTAAACCGACAAGAAGGAGCAGTGCTTCTCTAGTCAGCAGGCCTGGATGTTTTCTCTGAATTGCATCATGAAGCATTGATAAAACTTTACAGCATGAATCAGCATTTACATTGTCACCTGTTTTTTTTTTAAGTTGGTTAAAAGCTCTCCTTGACAATCCCAGAACACTGTCAGCAAAACCTTCCCTGCTGATGGTGTAACCTCAAATTTGTGAACACAAGGCAAAGAAGGATGTTTCTGTTGCATTGAAGCAGGCTTTTATTCAGGCTGGTCATGATCTACCTATGATTCGTCCCTAGTAACAATCCTGTTCAGCATGTCTTCTTCTTCATCTGCTTATCGACAGAGATGTGGAAAGGACAGGCCTAATCGGTTCATGTTGTGTTGGTCCATCAGTTATGTGGCTGCACACTTTCTTAAATTTCAGTCGATCATGCAGTGTGTTGTGTGCTGAACCATGTGATCATCCTGTTGCAGCTGCTAAACAATACTGAACTTGATAGGTAGGCAACAAATTAAATGATTTAGCCATGAAACAAGATTGGCATCAGACAGTACACCACAGATAGCAATGCTATAGCGATACAGTGGTAAAAGAGCCAGAGGTCGACCATACAGAATATGGACCACGGAAATACCAGAGACACTGAAAAGTACTATATAAGAAGCGAACAGAAAAGCCAGTTCAAGAGATCTCTTCCTGCCCTGACACCACGAGGCATTCCAGGAGTAGAGAAAATAATAAGAAGAAGAAATAATTACCTAAACAAACAACAGTGTTGGCATGTTAAATAAATTTTACTGTCAGATTATGCCACATGCTTTGTTCCAGATTTATTGTTCCCTTTAAAATAGGAGTCACAAATACATCATCTTGTTCTGAAGAGAATAAGGCAAAGAGGATTGGCCAGGGAATCTGGTCACTCAAAAATCTGGGGAAAGGCGAGACTGACATACAATGCCAGGGAATGTGGCACTCAACACTCTGGGGAAAGGCAAAACTGATATACAGTGCCAGATAATCTGGTCACTCAACACTCTAGGGAAAGGCGAGACTGACATACAATTAGATTTCTGCTTAGACCATCAGGATTGGATAAATAAACAGAGGGGAAACCCTTTAAGCCATAGAAATATTATAAATAATTAACAAAGAAACAATGTATTGATCAGCACTGATAGAAAGAAGTAGAAAGATAAAAGGACACACTAGACAACTAAAAAATCGAAAGCTATAGTTACCGTGTCAGGAATTGAATCTGTCACCTCCAAATGGCGTGTGAGCCTGAAGACAGGGATGTAACGCTTATACAAATGCTAAGATATCAGCTCTTAACTCATATCATCTTTGGAATAAACAAGATGAAACAAAAGAAGGATCAGTCTGCATGAGCAACACATGACCTCAACAACACTGACCAGGTTTTGTGCTATGGAGAGAAAGAACTTTATCTGTTTCCTTAAGTGGCTTTGAATCAAATCCAGAGTCAGCAGTTACAGTTTATAAGTCCTCTTCACTTGGTGTAGACCTGTGTTTCCCAACGTGGGGCCCATGGCAATTTGATATTCAAGAGGGGAGGGGTCAGTTTGATTGATACGGGGAGAAAGGGGGGGGGGGGTTTGATTGTTGGGGGGATGGAGGGGGGTAGCAGCAGTTTGATTGTTGGGGGGATGGAGGGGGGGGGGGTAGCAGCAGTTTGATTGTTGGGGGGATGGGGGGGGGGGGGGGGGTAGCAGCAGTTTGATTGTTGGGGGGATGGAGGGGGTAGCAGCAGTTTGATTGTTGGGGGGATGGAGGGGGTAGCAGCAGTTTGATTGTTGGGGGGATGGAGGGGGGTAGCAGCAGTTTGATTGTTGGGGGGATGGAGGGGGGTAGCAGCAGTTTTGATTGTTGGGGGGATGGAGGGGGGTAGCAGCAGTTTGATTGTTGGGGGGATGGAGGGGGGTAGCAGCAGTTTGATTGTTGGGGGGGATGGAGGGGGTAGCAGCAGTTTGATTGTTGGGGGGATGGAGGGGGGGTAGCAGCAGTTTGATTGTTGGGGGGGGGATGGAGGGGGGTAGCAGCAGTTTGATTGTTGGGGGATGGAGGGGGTAGCAGCAGTTTGATTGTTGGGGGGGATGGAGGGGGGTAGCAGCAGTTTGATTGTTGGGGGGATGGAGGGGGGTAGCAGCAGTTTTGATTGTTGGGGGGATGGAGGGGGGGGGGGGTTTTTTGATTGTTGGGGGGATGGAGGGGGGGGGGGGGTAGTAGCAGCAGTTTGATTGTTAAAGGGCATTTTGATTTTTGAGGGGGGGGGGGCAGTTTAATTGTTGAGGGGCAATTTGATTGTTAAGGGGCAATTTGATTGTTAAGGGGCAATTTGATTGTTAAGGTGCAGTTTGATTGTTAAGGGGCAATTTGATTGTTGAGGGGCAATTTGATTGTAAAGGGGCAATTTGATTGTTAAGGGGCAATTTGATTGTTAAGGGGCAGTTTGATTGTTAAGTGGGCCAGCTGTATTGTTAATAGGGGCAGTTCAAAAATAGACTCGTCTAAAGTTTTATGTTATGCCATTCTCCTCCAACCGTAATGATCTATTGGTGCCTCTGCATTGCTCACTCGCTTCCAAAGGGCCCTCACAACATCTAGCTTGTCATAAATCAGTTCACCACCAAGTGGTGCAGAACCGGCCAGACTATCTGGCTGCTCATTTCCAAACACGCCAACATACCCTGGAGAAAATATTGACATAAAATCAGTATGTTGATGTAACTGTAGAGGCCGCTTTAGCACAGTCGATATGAGACTCGCTTTCAAATCCAGCTGCATCTCGCTGCAGCCCACGGTCGGTTCACCCAGCCTCTAGGAAATGGGTACCAGAGTTGACACTCTAGGGTAAATGGAGGAAAGTTGCTGTAGCTACAGAGTTTTGAGCGGATAGTGACACAGGCAAACATTTTCTTATCATCTGTCTGTACTGGTGGCAGAGCACTTATGGTTTATAACCGCGTGCAGTGACGCTGGTTCACATCTCCTGACTTTACCATTACCTTTTTTAACTGTAGTAACACATTATTTAAAGCCATGACATCATTGATGATATGCGCATAATTTCTTCAAGCATTTTTGAACATTGAACTCTTGCAGGCGGACTTGTACAGGACTGATTTCAATGCTGAAAGAGAGGCTAGAAACACGCTGGCGGAGGAGAAGAACAAACTCATGGAGGAGAATGCTAAGCTTTTGCAGGATCTTCATAATTTGCAAGACAAGTACCTGGCCGTGACAAGGGAGTTGGAAAATTACAATCAGAGGCAGATTAATGATATGCAGCGGCGATTTCAGGCTGGAGCAGCAGTAAGATGTGTTATTCGTTTTTATCACTTCAGCTATACAATCTATTTAGTTATTGTTGTTTCCTGTGTGGGTTCTGGGCGACTATTATAAGGGAAAACAAAAATAGACCACTGCCTACCAAAAAGCATATCGTAAGAGTTGACTAATTGGGAGCTTCCTTCGAAGTCAGAATGCATCTGCCTGAGAGGCAAGGAACCGACTGTCTGTACACAAATGAGATCTGTCAGACGGATGCACACGCAACACTCAAGTTCTGAAACAGGACTGCAGTCCAGATGTGGATGAAAAAACATAACTTTCGCCGTAGTTTACAGCCGGTGAACGCAAGGAAGAAGAAGATATTGTTATAATCACTTCATTAGTAGGATGTGTTTTTTGTTTATTGTTATTATTAAAATAACTGTAAGATGTATCTTTTATATTTTATGTATGTATTCAGCAGTAAGATGTTTTGTTTGTTCATTGTTGTTATCCATTCAATATTTATTTAATTAGGTATTTAGTGTAATTAAACAGCCTAACGTGCACAGTTTGTGGCGACAGCACTAGCCAAGTGGCCTTAACTCCTCAGGCTCACGTTCCCCCCCCTCCCCCACCCCATCTACACCACCCTAAACAGTTTATTAACACAGCAGTATTATGTGTTTTTTATATATTTTGAAAAATATTTTCAGCAGTAAGTTGTGATATTATGGTTAGTTGCGTATCCTTTACAAGAAGTTGCAGAACCAACCCCAGTTGTGAAATATGTTTAGTTATATGTTAATTGTTGTTATCCATTCTTTATTTATATAATTAGGTGTTTTTAATTGTTATTAACACAGCAGTATTATGTGTTTTTTATATATTTGTTTATATATTCAGCAGTGAGTTGTGATATATGTTTAGTTATATATTGATTGTTGTTATCCATTAATTTTTTATATAATTAGGTGTTTACTGAAATTATATATGTTGGGCTAAAAAGTGCAGATGTCGCAGTCTGGCTGTAAACTACAACTGCCCCTTAACGGGTCAATTCAGAAAAAGAAGAGCATAAACAGATTAGCGTAGAGTGAAAAAACATCTTATTTATATGTCTTCATTTAAAGTCAGAAAAGGATGTATTGAAATAATTGTAACTTATGTCAATAAATCTTGATTAAAAAGGAAAATCCCCTGAAGTCAGAGAAAAATATTTATATAAAAAGAATGGTAAAGATGCAGTGGACAGCAAAAATAAGTGATGTTATTCTTATGAACTCCCTGTGTGGATTCCAGGGTCCCATTGTGTTGAAAATGAGAATAGACCCACTGGCTCCCCAACGAGCATGTCGTAGGAGTCGACTAATTGGGGGCTTCCTTCAAAGTCGGAGTGTATCTGCCTAAGAGACAAGGAACCGACAGTCTACATACAAATAAGAATGATTTATAAAACAGATGCACACACAAAATACAGGTCCTGGAAAAAAGCCAGAGTCTAGAAATGGACGAACAACCAGGTTTTTCTGCTGGGGTTTACAGCCGGTGAATGCAGACAACATTGTTATTAACCAGGCCAAGATATAAAGTCAAAATATCACAAATACTGGGCAAGATGCAGTCAACATAAATTGGAAAGAGTCTTCTAAGAGGAATAAATGATATGTGTAATGTTAACTGGTCAAAATAATGGAAAAAGAAATCAAAGATAGAAGACGAGAGAAATGGGGAAGCATGATTCCACATACCATTTAGAGAAATACCTGCTGATATTGTTGAATGTTGAATTAAGAATCATGACAGTACTCGGGAAACTCCCATAAGTAGTCAGTTCCTATCTTCAGCAACAAGCAAAGAGTTTAAGTTCTGATGGTACCAGTAACTGTCTGATTGTATATCCGGCTCCTAATTCCCCTAAATGTTAAGCATCGGCCAGATCCCCTGGGAACTCCTCACAGCACCAGTCTCTTACTGAAGTATCTGTGCCTCTACACTGTATACTTGCTCACAAAAGACCCTCACTATTTCTAACTTGTCATACACCAATTCACCACCAGGTGGGGCAGTCTGTCTGTCTGCTAATTTCCCAGCACACCTGCATGACCTTAAGAAAATATCCAAAGGATGCTAACTACCAGGGACCTCTGAAGTGATGCTTGCCACTTTGCACGAATCATGCTTGTTTTCACCTTTCTCAACATGCTCTGTGAGTCAGTTACAGTCACTGCATGTGTGTACAGCTGATTCTCAAGCCAGCTAAAGGTAGCAGAGACTGCCTCCACCTCCATTCTCAAACTAGACGTGATCTATTGCTGCTGATGACACGGATGTTGATTTTTTAACAGCAAAATTATGAGATGCCACAACTTCTGAGGACCACCCCACCTTTAGCACAAGATTACAGGCATCAGATGCCAGATCAGAGACCTGACACCTGGCACCAATCACAGGATTACTGGAGAGGGGCACAAATGCATCATCCGCAGGATTACAGAGAGCCAACTTCAGCCGCATATCCATCACAGGTTTGTATAAAACATTGTTATTTTTATCATGTACCTTGTCACATGCTGTAGGTGTTCATGTCTCTCCCCCTATCTGTCCAGGGTAAGTTGAGGACTTATTTCCACAACTTTATGCGTATAGGGCATATAAGGCTAGACCTATATTTTTATAGACCGATCAGCACAAGATCAGTGATTTGGTGAGCATTAAGCCAACCCCCTTTACTTCCTAGGACTGCACCTGGTACCCACTTAAAGCTGGGTCTACCTGGGAGCCTAGGTCATTTACGAAAAAAGTCTGGCTCCATCAATGAGTGAACCCACAACCTTCCGATCCGCAGGCGAGCGTCTAGCCGCTATGTCACACCGACTCCCTATCTGTTGGGTAATGTTCTGGTAAACTGTGGTGATGTTCATGTGTGGATCATCATAACTTAGATCAGTATATATTATTGGGCGGTTCACGATACAAATTTAAGGGGTCTCTGATATCGTTTTCTTCTTGTTCTCTAGTCCTTGTCTGCCTTTCAGCGCCAGGTTTTGAAGAGGCATCAGGTGCGAAGCTTGGTATGTGCTGCAAAGATGCTGGTATTTTCGGCCTCGGATACTCCTTCTGCACATCACTTGCATGCTCCACCTCTTGCTCTGCTTCCGTTATGTCTAAATGGCAGGGCTGTCTGAGCCACTGTCTGAGGCACTGACTGATGCACTGTCTGATGGTAATCTTGACAGACATCCAGACATTTTTGTTCTGTTGGGGGGGGGGGGGGGGGGGGGGGGGGGGGGGCACGTTAGCACAGTCGATAAGAAGCTCGCTTTCAAATCCAGCTGCCACTCGCTGCAGCCCACTGTCGATGTTCGAAACTGGGCGGCTCCCGGGGTTCACCCAGCTTCTAGGAAATGGGTACCAGAGTGATACTCTGGGGTAAATGGAGGAGCGTCGCTGTAGCTACAGAGTTACGTGCGAACGGCGACTCAGGCGGACAGTTTCTTATCAGCTGTCAGTACTGGTGGCAGAGCACTTATGGTTTATAACTGTGTGCAGTGACACTGGTTCACATCTCACGACTTTACCTTTACCTTTACCTTGCTCTGTTGTCTATTGAAGTAGTTTATTACTAGTTCTATCGCAGCTTTTTTTCTGATATCATCATTTCTGATCCTATGTCTGCTAGCTAAATGTAGGATTTGTTGATAGGATTTCATTTCTGTTGTTTCCATTCTTTTTTTTTTTTTTTTACTTTTTTTTAAAAATTAATGTCCACTTTTGCATTAATAAAATAATGTTGGTTAAAAAAAAAATACTGTATTAAATAGTGCTTTCTTGTTCTCGATTGTTTGTAGGAAGGTCATGGGTAGTGAGCATACTTTGGGTCTTTTCTCCAGGCCATGCCCGCCTAGTGGGTAATGATCAGGCAGACAGATTGGCTGGATCTGCACCACTGAGTGGTGAATTGATAAATGAAAAGGCAGATGTGGTTAAGGTCCTTTGGGAACAAGCAACTGAATCAGTAGAGAAAGAAGATTATTATGACCTAGAGAGAATGAGGCACCTGGGTGTAACCTGAGGGTCTGGCCGGCTCATTACACTCAGAGGAAAGGCAAGACAGATATGCAACCAGATTATGACCTGTACCATTAGTATTGGAACTCTGCGCTGGCTGCTGGGACGTTGTTCTGTTACGGAGCACGCATGGGAATGTCCCGAGTGCTGTGATGTCAATTCTTGACTCAACTCAACTCAGCTCTTGGACATTCTTATTTCCTCACTTGATTCCACTGGTTCCATTCATTTTCCCAGTTGCCCATTCATTGTCCAAGTTCTTGCACCATACAGCAGGGTTGAGTAAAAATAAAATTTTACAATGCAGGATATTATTTCTCTACTTCTGATATCTGTTTCAGGGCCGTGTTGCTGCACAGTTAACTCCTGGACGTCAGAACGACGATGAACTCCCAAGTTTCCAAGATTACGAGTGTCCATCTTGTGCTGCACGTTTTCCAGATGTCGACTCTCTTCAGCTTCATGTGCCTGATTGCATTGATAATAATAGATAGTTCTTTACTTGTATGTGTCTGTGTAAGTTCTTTCTTTGTGTGTTTTTGTGTAAATTCTTTCTTTTTATGTCTCTGTGTACATACTGTAAGATATGTTACACTAAATGAAACATACTGTAAGATATGTTACACTAAATGAAACATACTGTAAGATATGTTACACTAAATGAAACATACTGTAAAATATGTTACACTAAATGAAACATACTGTAAGATATGTTACACTTAATGAAACATACTGTAAGATATGTTACACTTAATGAAACATACTGTAAGATATGTTACACTAAATGAAACATACTGTAAGATATGTTACACTAAATGAAACATACTGTAAGATATGTTACACTAAATGAAACATACTGTAAGATATGTTACACTAAATGAAACATACTGTAAGATATGTTACACTAAATGAAACATACTGTAAGATATGTTACACTAAATGAAACATACTGTAAGATATGTTACACTAAATGAAACATACTGTAAGATATGTTACACAAAATGAAACATACTGTAAGATATGTTACACTAAATGAAACATACCTGTTTTTAGTAAAGTAGCATGGTAAGATTAAGCAGTTGTTAGTTGCATATCCTTTGAAGCAGCGGTTCTCAACCTATGGGTCGCAACCCTTTTTTGGGTAGAACTTTTTTATAGAAATGACCTTGGCTCCCAGGTCGACCCAGCCTGGAGTGGGTACCGGGTGCAATCCCGGGAAGTAAAGGCGGCCGGCGTAATGCTGACCACATCACCCATCTTTTGCCGATTGGTCTATAAAAATATAGGTCTATCCCTATATGCCCTATACGCCTAATGGTGTGGAAAAGGATCCTTTACTTTTAAAAAACACTTTTTTTTTATTACCTTTTCACAGGGTCACCAAAGACAATCGCAAAACAAATTGTCATTGTAGTTATGAAGTAGCGATGAAAATAATTGTGTGGTCGGGGGTTGCCTCAACATGAAGAACTGTATTAAAGGGTTGCCACAACATGAAGAACTGTATTAAAGGGTTGCCACAACATGATGAACTGTATTAAAGGGTTGCTGCATTAGGAAGGTTGAGAACCGATGCTTTAAAGGATGTCACAATATCCAGCATTTGTTGGCTGTTCATAGTTTTACTAGGCAACCTTATGTTCAGTAGTTTGCCATTGCCCACGAGACTGTGGATGCTCATCACAATTATGGAAATCAACGCAAAGCAGTCACTGTCCGAGTAAGTACAGTGACCCTTCAGGCATTGTTCATTTTTCACTTTAGAAATCATCTTCATTACACATGGGACATGTTATGGGAAGAGGAAAATGGATTACATCATCAAGATGTCTTTAAAGCAATTCATTAACAAAAAAAATGATTTCCCACATCAGAAGTAGACAGTCTACCTGCTACATTTAGAAGTAGACAATCTACATTCCTTGGACATGACATGCAAAGGGGAAAACTGGATTACATTGGGACAGTGGGAAAGTTGGAGGGAAGACAAGCAGAGGGAGCTCAAGAAAAAAAAATTGTACCCTAGGTTTGTTGCATTCTTTTTATCATCTGATGTAAAATTGAACTGTCGTGTAAACAGCAAGAATGTTCCATCTCATAAACTTGCAGGTTTGGTAATATGGTATTGATTAGAAATATGTCTCTGGAACTACATTGGCCATGATGACCACTCTTTTTCATCAAGTATGAGTACAAAGATGACTGATGAGGCCGATGCGGGCCCAAAAAGTTCTTGGACAGTGAGGACAGGGAATGAGCCTTGTGCCAGAGAGGGGATCTTCTGCAGTTGCCTTTCTGCCCATCCTTTTATTAATAAGTCTTGCTGTTCTGTTTGCTTCACATGTAGCCTCGCCCTTGTATAGAGTTGCATGCCATGCATTTCGGTCTTGAGAGGCAGCCTCCCAATTGGTGTCATTCATCCCAAATGCTTTGAGTGAAGACTTCAAGGTGTCCTTAAAGCATTTCTTTTGCCCGCCTTGGGAATGTTCCCCATTTACCATGCACTCAGAATGGATAAGACAAAATTCCCCCATCAAACCCTCATATGGACCTCGATGCAGAGGCCCTACATTGAACCATCATCAGAGAAAACTTGAAACCATGGGCCGAACAAACATCCAAGACCTAAAACAGGTGGCATCGAACTGCCAGACATGGAGAGCTATGGCCTCTGCCCTATGCACTGCCCTAGGCTCAAGAGGAAAGACTAACTGACACAAAAATGTGCTGTTTTCTTGGTCTGCAGTGTCACCTGGCTAAGTCTATGCCCCTTGTATGATTTATTTCTTTCACCGAGAATACTTTATCATTTTTGCTAGCTCCTGTTATGCTGTATTGGATCTTTTACTTTAGATAGTTCTTGCTGTGTGGGACATACATTACAATAAGATTACAATAGTATCTTGATCACTGCCATTTGTTAGTTTACATTATTTCACATTCCTAGGTGGTATGCAGTGATTTATCATCATTTTATTCTAGGATGAGTAGTATGTTTCATTATTCTAGACATATTACAGTGACTCTCAACCTTTCTAATGCTGCGACCCTTTAATAAAGTTCCTCGTGTTATGGCGACCCCCCAACCATATATTTATTTTGGCTGCTACTTCATAATTTCAGTGAATATCTGTTTTTCGATGGTCTTTGGCGACGCTTTTGAAAGGGTAGTTGACACACAAAAAGTTGCCTCTCACAGGTTAAGGACCGCTGATATAGAACAAGAAACTGACTTTTTTTTAAAACCCCAACTTTTGTTTGGTACCGGGAGCCGCTGTGGTGTAGCCACTAGAAGCTTGCCTGCGGATCATAATGTTGTGGGTTCAAATCTGCATGGAGCCAGATTTTTTCAAACGTGACCTTGACTATCGTGTTGACCCAGAGTTAGGTGGGTACTAGATGAAGTCATGGGAAGTAAAGATGGTCGGCGTAATGTTGGCCATATCATGCAATGCAAACCGACTGGTCTAAAAATATAGATCTATCACTATATACCCAATACACTTGAAGGTGTGAAAAAGAGTCATTTTACTTTTGGTACTAGAAGGCATGAAGCTTTCATGGTGTAGTGGCTAGACACTCACCTGGGGATCTAAAGGTCATGGGTTCAAATCCCAAATGGAGCTGGTCTTTTCTAGAAACAAATTACCATGGCTCCTATGTCAATCCAACCTTAATACGAGGTAAAGTCCTGGGAAGCAAAGGCGACTGGCGTGATATTGACCACATCACCCACTGAGTGCCAGCTGGTCTATAAATATATAGGTCTAGCACAATATACCCAGGACGCACACCTAAAGTCAAGGAAACAAGTCCTCTACTTCTACTATTGGTACCAGAGAATGGTTAAATTAATTAGAAATCAACACGTGATGTGTTCCTTGCTACCAAAAGAGTTAAGTTTTTGCAAACAAATGTGATCATGAATAAATTCCGGTGCTCCATGGCTAAGTGGTTAAGTCATTTGCCTTGCGCTGTGAAGGACATAGATTCATGCTACTCGCTGCTCTTTTTTTTTTCTTCCCCTGTTTATGAGTGCAATTTTTTACAGAGGTCTCTGAGTACTGTTGCTGGAACTACAGAGTTTGTGCTTTATGTGATGGTCTCTGGAGGTGGCTAGTAATTTTGTGGAAAGAGGTAGAGCTATATGAGATAAAATCTGGCTCTGTGGAGCTGATTCTCCAGATTTTGAACTTCAAGTACAAATTATGTATATTTTATGCTCAAAATTATGTGATGATGAGAATGTGATATTATGCTGCATACAGTATTTGCTGCATTAATCTCATAAATGTGGTAAAACTGATTAACCCTCCTGCTCCAAGATACCAGTATTTTGACACTGCTGTCCGCTGCTATTTCTCAGCTAGCTGATATTTTGGCGATATGGCTTTGACCAGTTTCCCTATACCAAAATATCAGCTTTGGTACTCTTTTGGCTTGGGCATTATTTGGATGACGTGTGGTTATGTTTACTGAATATAGCATTGAGGTGGGAACCAACAAAAGGGGTGGGGGGTGGTTACTGTGAACAATATGGCGTTTTTAGCCCCTAATTTGTCTTTGGCCTTTGTTGGTCGCATAAAGACGGAGTCACAGTGTGGGGTCACTGTATAAATGTTTAGGCCCAGGGAAGAACAATCTTTTAATTCTCTGCTTCATTCATGTTCACTGATAATTCCCTTTTATGTTTTTATAATAAAATCATATTTTAAAAAATGTATTTAAAAAATTTTAAAAGCAACATGCAAAAAATATTTAAAAAAAAAGTTTTTAGGGAAAGTCCTAAGTTCTGGGACGAAAGGATAAAAGCTATCAAATGCAGTTTTGTGTGGTTTTTGGGAGTTTTGTTTTATTGTTTCTTTACAGTAGTATTGCAGCTTTGTTTGGTGCATTTTGCTCTCTATTAGATAATTCAAGCTTTTCAGTCTCAGAAGATATGCAGCATGCTCCGGGGAGCAAAATAATTTCTCAAGAAATGACTGCATTTTATAACTTTCAAAGAGGTTTAATACATGGTAGAAATAACATATTTTGTATTTGTCCTTATGCATTTCTTCTGCTCCAGTGTCTCTTGTTTCACATAATCTCAGAATGTATCCTCTTTTCATTTCTAATTTGTGTTGTAAACTCTGGTGGAAAATCCCGGTCCACTTCTGCAGTTGGTCTCAGGACTTGGGTTTTGCATACACATCCATCTGACATAATAAGGCTTACTTGAGGGCACACTGCTGGTTGATTGCCTGTCAGGCAGACCTCTGACTTCTTTGTTGGCCAGGCCCCTGATTTGGAACCCTGATGAGGCGTAGATAGATCTGAACAGGCCTGCTCCTGGTGAACCAACACATGTTGCTCAGCACCTCTCTGTATCGCTTTTCCTTTCCCCACTTGATATTTCCCAGTTTACCAACTTCCCTCTGTGTTCTGACAATCCATGTTCCAATCACCGTAATCTTCCTTCTAGATTTGCCTGTAGGAACCCAGTGATGGACTG